ATTTTCATGCAAAATGATCGCCGTTTTTTATTTCACATTCAACACGTTTTTACTTTTCTTGTATGACATTCAGTCATGCAAGACAAGTGCATCGTTCAATGTGTTCTGCTTATTTAATTTTACGTGCATCTTTCAACGTGTTCTGCTTATTCAATTTTACGTGCATCGTGATTTTCAAATACTTATTTTGCGTGCTCATCAATCCAACAAATTTTTCCGTTAGATATTTCTCTAAGAAACAACTTTACATAATGACTTCATATAAAGTTTAAACCTGATGTGTTTTTAACTTGTGAACACTTTTCGGATCTCCTAGATACATGCTTTCTCATTGCCGATTCTTTTAATTTTTTGGTAAAATAAAAAGAATGACTTCAAATAGGATTGACATCTAAACAGTGATGAGCTTTAATGTGTTTGCATTTTTCATCATCATGTCAGTTCAGACTTCCTATTTCTGATACTTTGAACCATGAGTCGTGGTAGCTGGTGGCATGGGTAACATGACAACGTGTGTAACAGTATTCTTGTTATTATAGACAATGCAATAGATCAAGAATACACTTTCTTGTCTGTGGTATAAGTTGGGAATAGCCTGCATTACAGACAGTGTTAGAGAGGAGTTGAGAAGAACTAGAAGGGCAGAACAACTCAAGAATAGTAATAAGAAGAAAGCGAAAAATAGAGCGAACTTGATCAAGAATCCATACAACTACACAAAAACACTGTTGGGTGGAGAAAGATCAGGGCATCTGCATTGTAGTAATTATAAGGAAGAAGTAGAAAAGTATCTGCATGAAACACACTCGGACACAAAAGAGAGACACCTTTAGGATATTGCCCAAGAGTTGAAGAAGAAGAACAGCCAACAATAGAATTTGAAACGAAGGAACCAACATGGAAGGAAGTTTGTGAGGTGGTAAAAAAGGCAAGAACAGGATCAGCACCCGGATACAGTGGTGTACCATACAAAGTCTATAAGAAATGCCCAAAGATACTTAAAAAACTATGGCAGCTATTCCGAACACTATGGAAAAAAGGAACCATTCCTGAAAGCTGGCAGAAGGCAGAAGGGTGTTTTGTACCAAAGGAAAAAGATTCTAAAGATATTTCGCAGTTTAGGACAATTTCATTGTTGAGCGTAGAGGGGAAAATCTACTTCTCTGTATTGGCGAACAGGATGACGAAATATATGGTAGAGAATAGCTACATCGATACATCTATGCAGAAAGGAGGCATTGCACGTTTTTCAGGATGTGTAGAACATACTAGTGTTCTTAGCCAACTTAAACATGAGGCGAAGACCGGAAAGAAGAATTTGGCAGTAGTATGGTTACCGTTAAAAGGCTTGTATAGTCCGCGGTTATATTCTCCAAAATTCAACCTGCCAGAAGGGGTGCGGACTGTAAGAGTACAATAAGCAAGAAGTAAGAGAATAAAAATCGTGAGGTGGTTTGTTTACGTTCAGCCATGTTTGTTATTGATATTGTAGAGGGCGCTCAAGATTATCATTTTTCAAACTTATAATTTTATCTAATCCATATTAATAAGTTATTTTTATTCAATATCAAATTAAAACTGATAAATTTAAAAGTTAAACACTTCATTACAAATTTCTTGTTTCTTTTCAATGCATTGATTAAAATAAACTGGTATCTGCTTGAATGAAACGATACAAAAAAAGTAAAAACAACCGTAAACCAGCTTACGATGTGTAAATTACAAAACGTAATCGGTTATTATTCGTTCCGTTTCCGTGTTTCATACTGACAAATATGTTTTGTATTAGCTTAAAACATTAAAAAACTTTAATGTAATAGATATATTTAACACTGTTTTACATAAAGATGGGACTGTTTTACTTTCAAAGTCGTATTATAGTGATATCTATCAGTATGATGTACGGATTTTGACTCTCACCGTTTTTTTTCTTCTTTTACACATGCTATTCAAACTTCCGGTTTAAACATACACAAGTTTCTAAATTCTTTTTTGTGTGATTTAGACTTATTTTAACAATCGTGAAGTGTTCTAGAATCATTTACAAGCAGTTTCAGCTTCTGAAAACAGGTTTTTCCAAGAAAATACCGCAAACAACCATACACGATTTGAAATTACCAGTTTCAGTAGACCTTTTCTAACAGTTACAAAAAGTTTTTTTACCTGAAATTTCGTGTGGAGAAGGGGGTGCGGACTACAATGTATGTACCAGTGCGAACTATACAAGCCTGATTACGGTAGACCTGGCAAATGCATATGGATCAGTACCACACAAATTGATAGAGATGGCAATGGATCACTACCACATTCCAGATCACATCAAGAAGATAATCCAAAAGTATTTTGGTTGAATACAGCTGCGATTTACTGTAGATAACTAGACAACAGCATAGCAGAAGTTAGAGAAAGGAATAGTTACGGTTTGTACCATCTCACCTATAATATTCATTATGAGTATGAATATCATCATGAAGGCAGCAGAAAGAGTAACAAGAGGTCCAAAGACAGATTCAGAGATTTTTCTACCAGCAACAAGAGGGTTCATGGATTACCTTACAGTAACAACATCATCCCATATTCAAGCAAGATGGATACTGTTAGCACTGGAAGAGGTAGTCACTTGGGCCAGGATTGAATTTAAGCCAAGGAAGTCAAGATCAATGATACTGAGAAAGGGTCAGATAACAACGAAGTTCCAGCTTAAGATCCAAGGGGACGAAATACCAACAATAGTAGATAACGCTATAAAGTGCCTTGGAAAATGGTTTGATGATACCCTTAAAGACAATACACTTGTGAAGACTGTACAAACACAGGTTGCAGAATGGCTGAAGAAGGTAGATAATAGTGGATTGCCAGGGAAGTTTAAGGCTTGGCTATACCAACATGGGTTGCTACCAAGACTGACATGGCTACTCATGATCTATGAAATGACAGCAACAGCAGTCGAAGCCATAGAAAGAAAGATAAACAGTCACCTCAGAAGATGGCTAGGAGTACCACCAAGTTTTACAGCCATAGGTCTTTACAGTAGATCATCACAACTCAAGCTACCTTTAACATCAACTTTGGAGGTATACACGGTATCAAAGGGCAGACTTGTTATAACTCTCAGGGACTCAAAGGATAGCAAGATAAGTAAGTCTGGAATCGAGACACATACTGGGCGGAAATGGTCAGCGAGAACTGCAGTAGATCAAGCAGAAAGTATTCTTCATCACAAAGACATAGTGGGCAACACCAGTACTGGTAGACAAGGCTTAGGAATGACACATTTCCAACAGTGGTCAAGGCAACACCAAAAGAGAAGAGCAGCATGGTGTAGTCAGAAATAAGACAAGTAGAAGAAGAACAAAGAAGGGCAAAAGCAGTAGAGCTTAGCCGTCAAGGAGCATGGATGAAATGGAACTTGCCAGAAAGAAAGATCACTTGGGCAGAGTTATGGAGGATGGAACCATTCAGAATTTCATTCATGCTTAGGTCAGTCTATGATACACTTCCTTCCCCTTCAAACTTACACCAGTGGGGACAGATAGAAGAACCAAGCTGCAAGTTATGTGGTGAAAGAGGCACTATGGCACACATACTTTCAGGCTGTAAGTTTGCTCTGACACAGGGAAGATATTGATGGCGGCACGACAAGGTCCTGAAACATCTGTCAGAGATCCTTGATATTGAGAGAAGGAAGAAGAGACCATCAACAACAGAGGCAAAGCAGATCAGATTCGTCAGAGAGGGAGATACTGATCATGCAACAAAGTCACAACAGCACTTCATCTTGGACAAGGGTAGTGAATGGAACATGAAGGCTGACATTGGCAAGAAGCTTGTGTTTCCAGAATGTGTACAGACAACCCTACGCCCAGACATTGTAGTTTGGTCACAGTCGTCAAAGATGATAGTTGCAATAGATCCTTGGGCATGTTGGGAAGAGAGATGTGAAGAGGCATACCAGCGGAAGAAGCAAAAGTACACAGAGCTGATGACAACATGTAGAGAGAAAGGTTGAAAAGCGTGGCTGTTCCCAGTAGAAGTAGGCTGCAGAGGTTTTCCTGCACAGTCATTAAGGAGGATGCTACAGGCAATGGGAATAGTCGGAAAGGCATGGAAGACAGCAGTAAGACAGCTAGGGGAAGCAGCAGAACTTTCGTCTTACTGGTTATGGCATCGCCGAGATGATCTGAGCTGGAAGCTGAGTGCTGATGAGTAGAGGTTTGGCTACCTCTACTGACCGCAAACCGGAGGATGTAATGGTACAGGGTCGAAACATCTGGTGAAGGTTGGAACCATCTGAAGACATCAAAGCACTGGCAGAGAGCGACAGAGATTCAGAGTTGAGGGAAGATGAGCAGTCAAGAGAATATGACAGCAGAAAAGCAGAATACCACCATCTGTAAGTAATAATCACGTTCCACATGAAATGATATCTTATTTCATAGTTGTTTCCATGCAAGCACCCCCCTCCCCCTCCCCCACCCCTTTTTACCACTCTCACTAAACATCACTGCTGTTCCTAGTGAAATTTTGATGTCACATTGTGACAAGAGAAAATTTCTGTTGCCACAAAAGGAAAATAATTGTTGTATGATGCAACGTCAATAGTTCAAGTTTCTTAAATTCTTTAGTCAATTGACCGAATTGTAGCAGATTCCCATATTATATAGAAATAAGGTCGATCCTCCACTGGCTGAAGTGGTTATATTATGCTCTTTTCAAAAGTTACGTAGCTACGTGGGATAATAGATATTTGATCGTATAATTAAATTGTGTGCGTCTTATTCTAGGTGTCAAGAAAATCTAGAAACCATAGAGAGAGATGTGTAAAATCCACCTCGTCACATGACTCGTCACCCAACAGGCAAGATGCAAATTAGTTGCGGATGCTGTAGGTTTTTACTTTACGTGTGTTTATATATCGGAGTTTTTACTCAATTTGTCATTCTGTCTTTATAACTTGATGAATGTTGTTGTCATTGTGGCTTATTTTAGCATTTGTTTACCATTTTAAATGAGGTCCTCCTCCCAAAATCAACACATAAAATATGGCCTCGTTATAATCTCGCGGAAGTGGAATCTTTTGGTTTTTGGCTTTTGGAAAAATAAATTTAAACGATCATATGATTTCGGATAAAAAATCAATAAAACTGCGTTTCCTGGCAATAATTTAAATTAATTTTTGCTTAAAAAATGTAAAAATTAAGAGCAAAACTAACTTTAAAAACCGTTCTTGGAGAAAGACATGTTAAATTTCCGTACATTTCTTTTTCTCCACTGTCGTATTGCTCTGCAATATTCAGTTTCTGTATATGATTTTGTTGACTGTTGTTGTTGGGTTTTTTTTTGTCGACACTATCACGGTAGGTATAGTGTCCGGCTAGGGTCGTGGTTTTTCGAGTGAATCTGTCCATTTTTTTCGAGGGTGTAGATCGGGCTTTTTCGAGTGATAAAACATGCGATCAGGTCAATTAACTACTAATTCGTAATCATAATAGTTTTTTACGTGACTACCCATCTTATTTGGAATACTATACATGTTTTGAGTAACAAAGAAGCACAATTTCCTTGTATTTAACCATTAAATTCAGTGTTTGTTATTGTCCGGGCTTTTTCGAGAGGAACTGCCAACCGTCCGGGTTTTTAAACAAATGGTCCGGGTTTTTTAACGAAAATTTTGATAAGAAAAAAGTTATTTCTGACTTTAAAAAATGACTTTTCTAGTTTATAAATGTAATTTAATGAATGAAAATATCATATATTCTCAATAAATCAACAAAAAATATTACTACGTTGATCAAAATTAACCTTTTTCAATTTAATGCAAGTTTTCTGTTAGGAAAAAGTTCTACCACAACTTTCCAGTATTAAATTAGAAATTATTGGATCCTTTATAAAAAGGTCATAAGAACATAGTGCAGGAGACTCATAATCTTTTCAACTTCATTTAATGGTATTTTTGTTGTCACAGTTAATAATATTTTTCGTGGTGAACGGAGTTTTTATACGGTACGTATTTTGGTATGCCGTTGTCCGTCCGTCGTCAGCATGTCGGACAAAACTCAAAAACGCTGTAACCAATTTACATGAAACTTCGTTGAATTTTTTTTATCATTGAGGTATCCCTTTCGAATATTATAAATTTTAGATTTTACGTTTTCGAGTAATAGGATTTTATTAAACAAACTAGAGGCTCTAAAGAGCCTGTGTCGCTTTCTTTGGTCTATGTGCTGCAGTGCATATTAAACAATGGGCACTCTTCTACATTAAAGACAAGAATATAATTCATGACAAAATTCTCTGTTTTGGTGATGGTGACTTGTTTGTGGATCTTACTTTACTGAACATTCTCGTTGTTTACAGTTATCTCTATCTATAATGAACTTGTTCCATAAGTATTAGAGGAGAAGATTTCTGTAAAACAATGTTTGCGTTGCACATGATCCGCTATCCTTAACATTACAGTTATTAAGCTGCTCAGATTGTGATCTGTTCAACAGCAATTAAAACTCTAGACGTATATATCTGAGCATCACGGGACGACACAATGTAAAAGTTAACGCACGACGACGGACAACGACGGACGACAAGTGATGAGAAAAGTTCACTTGACCCTTTAGGGCCAGGTGAGCTTAAAAGGGGTGATTTAACAGTTTTCGGACAATATTTTTAAAGTGCTTTGAGGAGTTTTTAATTCATGAAACTTTGGTGACTGCTTTATATAGATTAAGGTTACCTCCCTTTTATTTTTTTTTATAAATTTTTGATATGACATTGAGAAATTATTTATAGGTTTCATAACGAGTGATAATGGATATCGCTTGATATCAACTCGAGTTATTTAATTTCAATACTGATAATATTAAACGATGCTCCGGCGAGTTTGGTATCATTGACAAGCGTATCATGCGCCCATGGCGCAGCTGTTTATTAAAAAACGGAATAAGAAACCTACTGGACAGCAGAGAAGAATAAAAAAAAATACATTTGTTTTTTTTTAGATGTATTTCTATTTGTATCCATCTGATGAGTTAAGCCTTTTTCAACTGATTTTTTTAGTTCGTTCTTATGTTGTACTGTTACACCACTGTCCCAGGTTAGGGGGAGGGTTGGGATCCCGTTAACATGTTTAACCCCGCCACATTCTGTATGTATGTGCCTGTCCCAAGTCAGGAGCCTGTTATTGTTATTGGTTGTCGTTTGTTGATGTGTACATATTTGTTTTTTGTTTATTTTTTTTACATAAATTAGGCCATTAGCTTTTCGTTTGAATTGTTTTACATTTGTCATTTCGAGGCCTTTTATAGCTGACTATGCGGTATGGGCTTTGCTCATTGTTGAAGGCCGTACGGTGAGCTATAGTTGTTAATTTTTGCGTCATTTGGTCTCTTGTGGAGAGTTGTCTCATTATCTTCTTTTTTTATATGTAATAAAAAATATTCTACTAAAAGACATTTTATCCGACCAGTTCTTATTCCCATTGACAATAACATCTGAATTTAATTTCATATATAGTTAACAATGAAATGAATAATTCATCAGCTTAATTCACTCTTTGTACGTACGTCTCAATCCAAATTATCTATGCTTACATTAGATTGTTGACATCATGAATATATACTGTACATGTAATTTATTAGATGTGACAAACAACAATATATGCAGATGGCTGATACTTGTTTACAAAGTCTAAGTGTTAGTACACCTTTATCAAACTGATGAATGCATTGGTTTCGTGCCTTCAAAAGTACATAATTTGAACCCTTTTTAATTGTTTTTAAACGTAAACACACTGACACACAACATTCTAAGCTATAGGAAATTTGTAAAATCACTCGATAAAACACGGACGCACTCGAAAAAGCCCGGACTGCTCTCGAAAAAACCCGAACACATAGAAATGAATTTAGTCTCAAAATATCATTTTTTAATGCAACAACAAGAATTTTTGTAAAGTGTCTGTATATCTAAGGATATATGGATTCCATGTATGCATTTCCATCGACGTTTGCATTGGTATGTGTATAAAAATGGCTTTATTCTGTTTTTTGGAATAAAAGCATTGTAAGGCTAAATTCAACTTTTTGAACGAAAAATAATGTCGGATTGATAATATCTTTTTATCTCAATTACTAACACACCTTGTATATCCTTGTATATTAAACTCAAGCTTCCATATCACGTCTTTTCAGAAAGTAAGTCTGTTTGTTTACATTTTTGATCATATTCACTCGAGAAAAAGTGGTCACACTCGAAAAAACCTGATCAAATCACTCGAAAAACCACGATCTTAGCCGGACACTATACCTACCGTGACTATGTCTTATTTTATATTACCATGGTATCGTCTTTCTTCGACTTATGTGTGTTGATTGCCTGATAGTATCTAGCTTCTCAAGTATTGCATATACTGACTAGCGGTACATTTACACATATTTCTTCGTTTATAAAATATTCAAAATATGTTGAAGAAATTAAAGAATAACTCAAACATGACATCTCTTATGTCAATATGGACAGACAGAATGACAAATTAAAAAAAAAGTGTAGTTCTTGCATAAGAGACTTATAATAATTATACTTCTCTGCTTTTCAATGATTAATAGTAAATCAACTGTCTGTTTGCATGGGAAAATAATGAACAGCTAAGCATGCACCGCTTATTATATCAAACTTAATTGTATGAAAAAAATATAACGGCAATTATAATTTAAGATATACTAACTTATTGCAGACTCCACAAGTTAAGACTCCCCCCCCCCCCCCCCCAAAAAAAATGCGGGGATAATCTCTAGGGTATAGCTACTGTGCTCAGGGAAAAGTTCTGAGCACTACCCAAGTTCTCAAACTTCGACACACACTTCCTGGTGAAATAAGAAAAGGCACTGATTATAATTTCATTCCAGTGACATATTATGCCAGGGACTCAGGAGGGACGTACACCCTTTTTGATAGGAAAAATGTCGTTTTTAGCATAAAATCGTAGAAAAAAAATCCGCCTCGATAGTTCGACGATTGAATATTTATATAACCGACATATACGTCCCCCTTTTTTCCATCGGAACCCTGCATCGACCCCTAAATACAATATTTATCATATGTCTCTGCTTCAATCAATTTTTAAAATATCATATCTTTCTGGAATGGTAGAAAATACATTCGTGTAGCCTGTCAATTTCATTTTTATATACATATTTATAATGAGATAAGTATAGTACTGTGAAGGTGTCTGTGCAATTAAGCAAAGCTCTAAGATGTCCTGATAGCCTATGCAAATTTTGAATAATATAAAAACAGAGACAATTTAAGATCTGCCATCAACACCAAAATCTTATAAAAACACATAATTGTATACTGTGAGAATATGTTCCTGTCCTTGGACAATCTTATTTGAATTCAGATCTATCGTGACTCGCATACACGTCGATTGATTGAATCAATGATTTTTGCAGGTTGCTTAACGTCCAGTGGCAACTATTTCATGTATGTTCAGGACGAGCATACACCTCGAATGTTATAATCAAAAATAAAATAAAAGAACTCATTTCAATTTTGAATTACAGATTGTCCCTTAGCGTCTTTTTTTTTAATCAAAGTACAAATATGATAGTACTCCTATCCATGATCATCAGTGAAAGGTAATTTTGTGTTTAACATGTTGAACTATATTGTACAAACAAATTCAACACTGTGAAATCAATGATTTGTATATTGATCCTTGCTGAAATCAACAAATCTGAAACAGATGCATATCATCAGCCCTGCTTAATACAATATAATGCGTGTATTGAAAAACATTATGAAAAATTTAATTGTTGACTGATCTATTTCTAATAGGGATTCATTTGTTTCAGTGATTCATAACCTCGAAATCGAAAGAGGGAGGTATAACAAAATTGCTAGAAAAAAAAGATTTTATAAAGTTTGTATGCCAAACAAAATTGAATACGAAAACCACTTCATGTGGCACTGTCAATATTATTAAAAGAAAAGAGAAACCTTTGAGACAAAAATATCTAAAATTTATCAACAATGGGTCTTTACAGATACTAAAGATGTGTGTTTAATTGATCCAACTTTTTGTGTACTATACATATATGGATATCTATTTTTCTTTTTTCTTTTTGGGCTGCTTGTTTGTTATCTATATCAACCACACTTGCAATAAAATGCATTAGTATTAAAAAAAACATACTATAGATTCTTTATCTACGTATTCTTTAAGAACTTAAATAGTTCTCGTTAAACGTTTTTTTTTTTATCTCATTGTTTGTATTGTATTATGAAAAATTAATGATGTAGTAATGTTTATGCCCTTTGGGGCCCATAATTGGAAATAAAATATCTTATTCTTATCTTATTATTCTTATATTTCTGAATTGTCAAAAGTTAGAAATGATGTATTACAAAAATATTAATCACATCATAGTAACATGCAGTTTACTTGTTTACAACCTACTGATATTATATTGTTGCAAATCATATATTGTATGTATTATTATCCAATGTACTTTGTATTGTGCCTTTACCGATTGCTATAATTGTGTGTGTTGGTCGGACTATTACTGTATGACACTTATACAAAAAGTATATAAAAAAGTTAAACCGAAAAACTATTCTCCCCATACCTCAAATGATAAGAAGGAAAGAAAAATGTAAAAAATATATTTGGTACAAATTCACTAACCAAATGCCGAAATAACTTTAAATAGGTGCCGATTTGACTGGATGCCGATTTGACTGGATGCCGATTTGACCATGCAGGTGTCGATTTGACTTTTCTATAGGTGCCGAATTAACCAGGTGCCGATTTGACTTGTACCCTTATGTCCCAGGTGTGTGCTAATAAATGGTGTCTATTGTCTATTTATTTAGATTTTTTTTTTCTTTTTCCATTGTTTTCCTTTTTTTCGTTTTCTTTTCCATCAATTTTTTAATTGACTGTTCAAATCAGTGGTTCAAATTAACACTACCCCGTGTCAGTCTACAAGTAATTAGCTTCGGAATTATCCGTAGCCGGACCCGGCAGTTGATTTGGAAATTAAACATCTGTACGTTTTGAGCACGCGTTTTGTTTGGAGGAGCCGGCTGATAAGAAGATCAAAAGGTTTGGTAAATTAAGAAATGCTATTTGTTATTTACAGGAATACTTGAACTTTTAACCTTATTTTGATTGATTGTTGCTTGCTTATAGTTCTGTTTATTTATATTGATTCTTGACTTTTCTCTTCAAAATGGTGCATACAAAAAATTAAAATTTTATCATGTTTATTGTGTGTTATAATACTGTTTTCCTTACGAGTTGGTGGCTGTTGGAGTGTGTGTGTGGTAAAGACAATACTTTACTTTGACACAACAACACAAACAATTTCGTATAATCATGATAATACAATGTACACACATTTGGCAAAATGCAGAGTTGTTATAACATGTTTATAGAAACAATGTCAATGTACACTGAGCAGAAATTATTATAGTATAAATATATATATGTCTTTTTCTGAAGTCTTGTCTGAATGGTTGCTTGGGTTGTGGTTCGGTAATTTTAGTTTACCAGGTTCTAATCCTCAGTAAATTAACAGGTTTATCTGCACGTAGTCGTAGAGTAAATTTTGTGGTGAAAACACAGCCATTTTAGCCTGTACAGTGTACATGTACTTGAATAGTGTACATGTAAATTTTTTTGTATCTCTTAGATAAATAAAGAAAATGACATTGTTCAGCTGTACGTTTGAAAGCAAATAAAAGGGAACCTTTTGAAAATAAGCACTCTTGTAGTGTACTTATATTAAATGACTGGAAATTGGAATATGGAAATTGTTCTTGTTCAGAGATTACAATGTATGATGATATTTCATCATTAATTTTTGTCATTGTTTATTAGCATTGTTGCCCTTTAAACAACCCAACATGAACAATCAACGAACAAGTCATGAAATGTACAGAGCCTTTACTTGTTTTACCGGTTAAATCCAAGCATTGAACAGTAAATCGTTTGGTAAAGTAAAAAATAAAATATTTTTGTTTAGGGGCCCGCCTCAGGGTGCCGGAATTTTCTCGCTGTGTTGAAGACCCATTGGTGTCCTTCGGCTGTTTTCTGGTCTTTGGTCAGGTTGTTGTCTCTTTGACACATTCCCCATTTCCATTCTCAATTTTATGAAAAAAAAGCATAAAATATTTCTCTATGCAGTAAAGATTGATAAAGTTATATGCACATACATGCATGGTGTGCAGAATTGTTGATGCAATTATAAAAGATTAAATTTTACTGATCAAAGCCATAAACAAATATGTAAATTTTATGCATCAGCAGTCAGAGCTCTGACATAAACAAGTCAGAATAAAATGACTTCTTCAAGTCAGAAAGTGTTTTGAAATTCTGACCTGTATGCGTCAATTTTTGTTTTGCGTAGTTTTCACTCGAGTCCGTCAAACCAGAAGTTATTTTGAATTTGCCGCCGATCTACGACACATACGATCACGTGGTTTTTTGCAAGAGATCACGTGTTTGAGAGTCGTTGATTTGGAAGTGTCTCGAACGAGAAGTCATTGAATATTATATTGATTATTTACGATTTTTAGTGAAAATCTAGGTCATTGTGGGCATTTTTAGAAAGGTAATTCATATTACCTCCGTATTTTGATGGGCATTTTTATATTTTTTGCCTATAAAGAAGTTCCTTGCAAGTGATTTTTTTGCTGTTTCATGAAGGCGCGCGACCTGTAAATACGGACGCGTGGTCTTTTAGATGACCTGGTGTTTGACAATTCTGACTTGTTCAGGTCAGAAAATGTTGTTATGATAATGAATTGTTATTTTCGGGAGATAACTCGTGTTGTCTTAAACAATATTAACATTATTAACCAGTCAGTGCAATTTGAAAAGTAAAATTATTGCTTCGAGCTGAACATCGTCACGTGATTTTTCTATTTTTAAACTCAATCACGAACTGATTTTTTAACCTTTCTGATTCGTTTCTCCCTATGAGAAAAACGATCATTGTGAATATTGATACGATGATAATGAAACGAAAATGGGAAAAATTTTAATAGAAGAAAAAGGAAGGCAGGGGTTTAACTAAAGAACCCAAGGGTTTTTTTTTTTATTTTTAAAGTTATAACTTGAGAACAATAAGTGATGCACACACCTGGTCTTCATTTATGATCATGGGACATGATAAAACAAATCAAATGAAATGTAGGGCAAGTCTCCAGGGATCACCCCTATCCCTGTCATTTCTCTATTCCTCTTTATAATGTCAAATTGATTTGAATGAAATATACCGGGCTAGTCTCCAGGTTTACCCCACCCCCTGCCATTTGCAAATGTTCTTATATTTTGTAAACGGTAGAGATCCCCACCCCTAAACCATATATATTCTTGTATGGGACAATTTAACAAATCAAATGATATGTTGGGGAGGTCCCTGGGGGTCACCCCTACCCCTCCTGTTTGAAAACTTGTAAACGGTCGAGATCCCCACCCCTAAACCATATATTTTCTTGAATAGGACAATAAAACAAATCAAATGAAGTATAGGGGAAGTCCCTTGGGGTCACCCCCACCCCCTCCTGTGTGGAAACTTGTAAACGGTCGGGATCCCCACCCCTTAACCATATATATTCTTGTAAGGGTCAATAAGACAAATCAAATGAAATAAAGGTGGAGTCCCTGAGGGTCACCCCACCCCCTCATGTTTGAAAACTTGTAAACGGTCGAGATCCCCACCCCTACACCATATACATTCTTGCACAGGACAATAAAACAAATCAAATGAAATATAGGGGAAGTCCATTGGGGTCATCCCCATCCCCCTTTTTGAAATGTTCTGGATCACCACCCCTAAAGGTAAACCATATGATATTCCTGTTCGTCATTTCAAGAAGATTTGAATGACATGCAGGGTCAAACCCTAGGCGTCACTTATGCATATCACTTTACTAGACAAATAAAATTGAGAATGGAAATGGGGAATGTGTCAAAGAGACAACAACCCGACCACAGAACAGACAATTTGTACTGGAACTTGCCCAATGTCAGGCAACCATGGGAATGACGAATTATGGGAGCTTAAATTTGTTTGGGAGACTTCGTAACAGCATCCTGTTACAATTATTTCTTGTTTATTTTAATCTGCTGAGAGACCACCTTTACATATTATATTTATCAGTGTTTGTGCAAACAGAATTGTCTATTCAGTATTATTTTCCTCTCACATGCATCACATCTTATTAATTACATGGATATAGGAAGATGTGGTATGAGTGCCAATGAGACAACTCTCCATCCAAGTTACAATTTATAAAAGTAAACCATTATAGGTCAAGGTACGGCCTTCAACACGGAGCATTGGCTCACACCGAACAGCAAGCTATAAAGGGCCTCAAAAAATTACTAGTGTAAAACCATTCAAACGGAAAAACCAACGGTCTAATCTATATGAAAAAAAAAAAATTGAAAGTTGTCTTCACAGATTCAATGTGTCTGAAAATGTTATATTGAAAAAACAATACTTTTATATCCTCAAATAAAATGGGTATACCATGAGTTTAATGGTCATGCAGATATGCAATCCAGGATGTTAACAATCAGAGTTTAGATTACAGTCATATAGTAATAGGCAGAGTTTTTCTTATATAATCAATAACCAGAGTAAAGATAATTGATTAATAGAGGTTTAGTTTAATATAAGTAATAAACAAAGCTAATTAATACACTTGCAATAACATACATGTAGTTAAATTAGTAAATACAGATGATTCATAAAAAATTCAGACAGAAATACTGTAATAGGTCAAGTCATTAGGGACGACATCAAAAGTTCAATATAGGATAAAAAACTTTAATTCACATCACATAGTTTTTTCACTGACCCACTCACCCCCCCTCTTAACTTAATTTGGGAAAGATTGATTGACCAATATGGATTTATGTAAAATCGATTTTGGATGAACAAAACTTGCAGCAACTTTAACCCCACCCCCACCCCCAAACTATTTGATTTAAGTTTTTTTATCCTACATTGGTCTTTTGATGGCGTCCCTTAGAATGTGCTGACTTTGTACATGTTGTAGTGATAGTTATGGCACCCATACAACATATAGGAATCAGTCAAAAGGAGAGAAAAATTCCCGAAATTTGTCACATAGTGACATTTGTGAGTCGGAATAACAAAATATAGACTCATTAATCTCTCCATCTTTTCAAAAATTATGAACCAGATTTTATGCATATCCATTTAGTTTTTGACGGACTCTTTTAAGTCAGAACATGATTTGACCTGTTTGAGTCAATTTGCAGAACAAAATTTCCAATCAAAGCTATGTGTTCTTCCTCTTAGCCCCCTTCTGAATCCGCCACTGTTGAGTTTATTAATTGATTTTTCCATACATTATCATTAATATCAAATGGCAATGCCTGACTTAATAATTTCAATAAATTTAGTTTTTGACTGATTTTTTAAAGTCAGAACATGACTTGACCTGTTTAAGTCAATTTGCAGAACAAAATTTCCAATCAAAGCTAGGTGTACTTCCTTTAAGCCCTGCAATGCCCGGCTTAAATATTTCAATAAATTTATTTTAGTTTTGGACTGACTCTTTTAAGTCAGAACATGATTTGACCTGTTTAAAACAAAATACATTTAATATTGAATATACCAAATAAACTTTTTATTGTCCTCATTATTGTGACTTATGGGGACTTTATTCTCTCTGTCTTTTATCTGGCTCACCCATACATTTTTAAATCAATATGACAATACTATACTTAAAAGTTGTAATAAGTTTAGTTTTGTTTGACTCTTTGAAGTCAGAACATGATTTGACCTGTTAAAGTCAGTTTACAGAACAAAATTTCCAATCAAAGCTAGGTGTACTTCCTTTAAGCCCTGCTTCTGAATCTGCCATTTTCGAGTTTATTATTTGATAAGTTTTTAGAAACAATTAAGTCAAATGGTTATTTATTTTAGGGGATCTTACATATATTTCCTGTGTCTTTTATCTGACGTTCCCATACATTCATTAAATAACATATGGCAATGCCCAGCTTATATATTTCAATAAATTTATTTTAGTTTTGGACTGACTCTTTTAAGTCAGAACATGATTTGACCTGTTTAAAACAAAATACATTTAATATTGAATACACCAAGTAAACTTTTTTATAGTCCTCATTATTGTGACTTATGGCTACCTTATTTCCTCTGTCTTTTATCTGGCTCACCTATATATTTTTAAATCAATATGACAATACTAGACTTAAAAGTTGTAATAAGTTAAGTTTTGTTTGACTCTTTGAAGTCAGAACATGATTTGACCTGTTAAAGTCAGTTTACAGAACAAAATTTCCAATTAAAACTGGTCTTTTCCTCTAAGCCCCCCCTAATCTGAATCTGCTACTGTTGAGTTAATTAATTGATAAGTTTGTTTAGAAACAATTCAGTCAAATGGTTTTAAAATAATATTTTTTATAACCAAAAGTTCCATATGTTAACTTAACAGAAAAAAAAGTCATAAAAATGCAGAAATAGAATAAAATTTTAAGATAATTTGATGAAATTTGTAAACAAAATACATTTGAATATTAAATATACCAAATAAACTTTTTTATAGTCCTTATTATTGTGACTTTATTATTGGGTGTCTTTTATCTGATTTTCCCATACATTCTTAAATGCATATGACAATTCCCGACTTAAAAGTTGCAATAATTAGTAAAAGTATAGTTTTTGACTGACTCTTTGAAGTCAGAACACATAATGTGACTTGTTCAAGTCAGTTTGCACAACAGGATTTACCTCAATGAAATATTAAGATATCAAATATATACCAAATTAACTTTTATATAGTTCTAAAAATTGTGACTTAATATTTGTGATCTTTTTTCCTACTTGTATCCATACATTCTAACAATCACATCACAATCATGACAATGCCCGACTGTTACAGTTGCAATCCATTTAGTGTTTGACAGACTCTTATAAGTCAGAACATGATTTGACCTGCTTGAGTCAGTTTACAGAACACAATTTCCAATCAAAGCTATGTGTTCTTCCTCTTAGTCCCCTTCTGAATCTGCCACTGTTGAGTTTATTAATTGATAAGTTTTAAGAAACAATTAAGTCAAATGGTTATTTATCTTAGAGGATCTTGCATGTATTTCGTGTGTATTTTATCTGACTTTTCCATACATATCATTAATATCATATGGCAATGCCTGACTGAAAAATTTTAATAAATTTAGTTTTTGACTGATATTTTTAAGTCAGAACATGATTTGACCTGTTTTAGTCAATTTGTCAGAACATAATTTGACCTGTTCAAGTCAGTTTGCAGAACAAAATTTCCAATTAAAGCTAGGTGTACTTCCTTTAAGCCCTGCTTCTGAATCTGCCATTTTTGAGTTTATTATTTGATAAATTTTTAGAAACAATTAAGTCAAATGGTTATTTATTTTAGGGGATCTTACATATATTTCCTATGTCTTTTATCTGACGTTCTCATACATTCATTAATATCATATGGAAGTGTCCAACTTTAAAATTTCAATAAACTTAGTTTTGGACTGACTGTTTTAAGTCAGAACATGATTTGACCTGTTAAAGTCAGTTTACAGAACAAAATTTCCAATCAAAAGCTAGGTGTACTTCCTTTAATCCAAGAAAGTCCTTGCTTTCAGACTGCTTCTGAATCTGCCATTTTCGAGTTTATTATTTGATAAATTTTTAGAAACAATTAAGTCAAATGGTTATTTATTTTAGGGGATCTTAACATATATTTCCTGTGTCTTTTATCTGACGTTCCCATACATTCATTTAATATCATATGGCAATTCCCGGCTTAAATATTTCAATAAATTTATTTTAGTTTTGGACTGACTCTTTTAAGTCAGAACATGATTTGACCTGTTTAAAACAAAATACATTTAATATTGAATATACCAAATAAACTTTTTTATAGTCCTCATTATTGTGACTTATGGGGACCTAATTTCCTCAGTCTTTTATCTGGCTTACCTATACATTTTTAAATCAATATGACAATACTAGACTTAAAAGTTGTAATACGTTTAGTAAGTTAGAACATAATGTGACTTGTTTGAGTCAGTTTGCACAACAGTATTTACCTCAATGAAATATTAAAATAATAAATGTTTTGCTCTTAATACATTTAGCTTAAAGTGGATGAGAATATATCTTTTATTAACATAGTCTTATCATGAATAAGTGTCTTGTTTTTCCTTGGAAGATTTGAAGTATTGTCATGTAATGTATCCAATATTGTATTTTGTAAATCTTTTGATATTCAGAAAATTGTATGATCCATTTTTTCTCACCTGTTTTTTCTTTGTATTTTGAAATAATTGAAAGTGATGAGATAAATATATTATGTTTAGATTCTGGAAAGGAGAAGGTATGATGTCAGATGAGCCCCACTTTTTAAAACTCTTTAATTCGAAACTAGTAATCACCATATTTTTATGGAGATTGATAACAAAGTGGTAGTAATGACTGCTTCAAATCAGAACAAAAATGACCTCTCGAAGTCAAAATGCATTAAAAAGGGGCATAAATCTTATTAGAATATGAAGATATTAAGTCACAATATTTTGTGCAAAATCTGACCTGTGGAAGTCATTTTATGATAAATTAAAGTCTGACATAAACTGACCTGTACAAGTCATATTCTTTTGAGTGCAAGAAGGGAGACAACACTTACATCAAATTATATCTGACCTATGGAAGTCATTTTATTCTGACTTGTTTATGTCAGAGCTCTGACTGATCAGTGAGCACATTTTTTGCTTAAAATAATCTTAGCATTTTTATTATTGCTATATATGTCATTTTTTTTTTTACAGATAAAAATGGATATTAGACCTAATCAGACAATATACATTAACAACCTGAATGAAAAAATAAAAAAAGATGGTGAGTAATGGCAATAGAAGAAAACAGTATAACTTGAATCTGATGTGTTATGTACATGTTCATTCATCCCATATCCTTTCTGTACAAACATGTAATGTGCACCACAAACAGTGATACTGAATTGAACAATCATAAATAGAAACTGTCTTGAAAATAGGTAAAGCTAATTTTAAGCCATACCTTCAATGTATGTAGGAATTAGATTTACTGCATAAGTTGAATTACTATTAAACAAATCAGTTGAAAATGTCTTTCATAAGCAACCAAATACACATTGGTTGACAGGATTGCACCCTTTAAACTTTTTAAAATCAGCTTTTCACTCTAAAACAGAAAAGAATTATTGAGGAGGCAAACATGTTATTTTGTCAATGTTTGTTATCAGAAATATTTCTGATTGCTCATGATCAGGTTGCAAGAGCAGGTAAAAACAAGTCTTGGATTAGCAGGAAGGGGAATCCAAGACAGAGAGTGGAGAAAATAAAGCATTACACCAAGCCCCCTTAATTATTAATGGAAAAAATTATGAATGCTTTGAAATTAAGAATCTTATATACTGTGTGGATATCAAATAGTTGCTGCTGTAATCAGAAAACATAAAGCTGTAAAATTTAATGTGTACAATTTAAAATAAATCTGCAGAGTGCATTGAAAGGATTTGAAAACTGCTGTTCACTGAGAAATATACATGTACAGTCATTCCCAAGGTCGCCGGACATTGGGCAAAGGGCAGTACTAATTGGTTTGGTCCAGTTAAATTATATGCATTACCGGTACTGGACCAAATGACCAGTAAAGTTTTTAACTTTGTCCAAATCATTTGTGTAAATGTTCAGTAAAAAAGAGAGTGGTCCAGTTAAGAAGATTGGTTTACTGGACCAAGTGTCCAGTTGATTTCTCAAAGCCTTGGGAACCACTGAATATATGATACCTTAGGAGGCATTTTGTTCCCTAAATTCTTTAAACTCAAACTTTTCTGAAGTTGTTTGTATGATCTAATAATTCAGCAAATGAAATCATAATCTAAAATTAGTTTGTTTTACATTTCAGAATTGAAGAAATCCTTGTATGCCATATTTTCACAGTTTGGACAGATTTTAGACATTGTTGCTTTGAAGACATTGAAGATGAGGGGACAGGCATTTGTTATATTTAAAGATATCAACAGTGCAAATAGTGCATTACGATCAATGCAGGGTTTTCCTTTCTATGACAAACCCATGGTAAAATTCATTAATATATTCTTATTTATAGGTGAGATAATTAAGAATCTCCAAAAGAAATGTTCCAAAAACATTTTGTATCGTAACTTTTCAAAAATAGCTCAAAACACATTTTTGTTTTTCTTTGTTGATTTTATTTTAGGAAATAGTGATTTTAAAGTAAAAATGTTAGGGACAGGGATTTGGGGGTTGGGTGTCAATTGTGCCTGCTCTTTCAAATAGGCTAGATTTCAATCAATTGGTAGATTGTTATCACAAATTTCATTTTGTCTACTGTAGTTTATATAAAAATTTCCCAATAGAGTGAGACCAGAAATTCTTAGGGGGTTATAACTTTTTGTAGGCACAGAAAATATTTCATTTTTTTTACTGATAGATATAAATGTAAATCCCTAAGTTTCTAATTTCACATTGTTAGTGTTTCTTATTTTTATTTCGTTTTAACATGGATAATATGGATCTAAACAAATAAGTTTGTACTTGCAGAGAATTCAGTATTCTAGAAAAGATTCTGATTTAGTAGCCAAAATGAAAGGAACATTTGTAGAGAGACCAAAGAGAAAGAAGGAAGAAGAACCAGAAATTAAGAAAAAGAAGAAAACTCCAGCATCTCAAAGGTAAGATGCTATGAATGAACTGATAAATAAATATAAATCATAGTATCATGGCCCACAAATGGTATCTCAATATTATACCCCACCTCTAGAATTGGGGCTATATTGTATTCACCTTGTCCGTCCGTTCTTTCAAAAACTATTTCTTAGGTAAGGCCAGGGAAAAAATGATTGTTGGTTTCCCCTAACATTGGAAAATTTACAAGGCCCGGCAGGCAGGAGAGTTTTTTTTTTTTGTGTATAGTGTTGCTATAGACTGTGTGTAGAACAAATATTTATTAACTTGACAACTGGTATTAAACTTAGGTGACTTTGATAACATGAAGAACTGGTGTCCATGTATTCAATCTTGATAAAATACTGGCACTTGGTGCGGAGTTGGCCATTTTGGGGATCTAAACAACGGGGGAGTGAAACGCTTTCAATTATTATTATCATTCCGATCAGTTAAGCGATTCAGCGATCTAGAAACCAAGGGAAAAAATTACCTTGACATTGTTATGCTTCTATACAACAAAACTGTAACGTATACAAAAAAATATTTGTCAACAATGCTGGATCGGAACTAGACACAGTCGTTTTTTGTTTGTTTTTGTTTTTCTTACAGTCGAAAAAAACGACCTGACAGTTTAAAGTAGACCCAGTCGGGTTAGGGGAAACCAACAGTCATTTTTCCCTGGCCTAATACTAAACAGAATGATTTCATATTTTGTCAGCATTTTGATATTGATAAGTTGTAATGTATGAGCACTTTTCAGTTCTGTCAGGTATCTACTTCCTGTTTGCTGATACTTTGAATTTTGAAGGTTTTGAATGAACTTCATTTTTTTCTTGACATTTTTTTCTCAAGAAGTACAAAACAGAATGACTTTATAATTAGTCAGCAGCTTAGCAGTGATATAACGTGTGTAAATGCTTTTCACATCCAGTGGCAAGATAAATTGTAAGCAGGGGTTCTGGGTGTGCGCCAGCTCTCCAGAAGCTGAACAATTATAGTAAAATACTTATTGAAAAAAATATTTTATAAAGTTATTTGCAAGCACATGCTTCCAATGCTACACTGGTGCTATGCCACTGAAATCTGTCAGGTATGTACTTCCTGATACTTTGAATTATGAGTAGGGTATGCTTTAGCACGACAATGCTTGTAATTAGTTAAAAAGGAATGGCATAGTCTTGTCATCCTGTGGGGAAAAATGAAGGTTTGCCAATTAAATCTTTTTAATTCAATGAAGTTAGAATATCTGTTTTTCATGGCATAAATTCACTGGTTGTTATTTGTACCCCGAACAAAAGAAAAAATTACAGTATTATTACACATACCAGGGCCCATTTGAAAATATGAATGGTGGTGTGAGAAAAAGGAATCTACTGAACTTGCACATTTAAACCTATCAGTTGTGAAAAACCAGAATTAATAATTTTGGTAGTTCATACTAGCTGATGTTGAAGATATTTCATGTCCATTGAAAATGATGTTGTGCCATTGTATTTTTATAGTGGAACAGGTATTCTTTTCTTTAAATACTTAAAAACAATATTCATTGTATTCATTGGAAGATACTTTGTCATGTTTGTAAAATGAAAATTATGCAAATAAAGTATTCTAACAGTTTAATATAAACACTTTTTTGTACATTTAGACAAAATGCAGCTCCAGCACCACAAACGCCAGCTATGGCACAAGTACCACAGATCAACCCAGGTAAGACTCTTTAAGGAATGGTCCAAGATGGTGAAGGTATTGGTTGTCTTATGCCTTTTGTTATTTAGAGAATAAGGTGTTGATGACAGATCTTTCATCATTTCCGTTTTATCTATAAATATCTATTTAGAGTTTTTCTGTTAAAATATACATGGTATCCAGGCAAAGCACTTTCAAACTGGGGTAACCAGCAATAATGGCAGATTTAGAATTTCACTTACATTTTTACTGTTCTTGACACCCACCTATACTATAGTTGAGATTTCAAAGTGCTTTCCCTAGGGTCCATGTGTGTTTATTTAAAGAATAGCCCTTAACCTCTCAATGATTTAGAGCTTGACATATTGTATAGATAATTGACTATAGAAAAAGACTTAAATTTTGCCCTTCAGATTTTTTTTTTGGTTATTTGTTATGTTGGGTTTCTGTCTCATTGATGTAGACTGCACATCTCCTTTTATTCAAAGTGAATCTTGAAAAAGTAGGACAAGCCCATTATAGAGGTCAAATTATATATATTTGATTGGTTTATTTTTTTGGCTATAAGTCAGGTTCTCTCAAAATTATTTTGTTGGTTTTTTTTTTTTGCTGTGGACAATGCTAACAAAGGATTGATGGAAAAGGTTATCAAAAATCGCGAGGTTTTTTCATTTTCATGAAATGTACACATATCACATACTATGATGTCATGACTTTGTAAATCTTGTCTAATTCATTTATATTTCTTGATTTTATATATTTCCCTATATTATGAGCAAATTTTATTAGGCCCAAGACAGGTCTCAATTCCCCTTCTATTTTGTTAATCATTGTTACATTTAAATTTTCTAGTCCTTATACATGACCAAATGTGAGTTTGAAAATAAATAGCATAATTTCAGGACAAGATATACAATAGAAATAAGAAGATGTGGTATGAATGTCAATGAGACAACACTCCATCCAAGTCACAATGTGTAAATAGTTAACAATTATAGGTCTGAGTAGGGCCTTCAACACGGATCCCTTGGCTCACACCGAACAGAAAAAGACTGTCATTGATGAAAACAACAGAGACATTGAAAAATAAAATATTGCAAAATACAGCTCTTAAAACTCCTTACAAAATATGGATGAACTCTGGTGCTTCAGAATGGTAAGCAGTATATGGCATCTGCTACACTTGTTTTGTTGTTTTCTGTAAAAAGAAGTCTTGCATGTGGAAAGATGAGTATGTGACTATAGCTACGACAAATAGCACAGATACATGATCCTTTCTTGCATATATGTGTAAATAACATTCAAGTAAATTATGATGGTGTCCTTTTGAGAGAAAAAAACAACAGAAACAGGACGACACCAAAAAAAGATATTATTCAGCTTAATCACAGACTGGTCCAACAGCTAGGTTGACCTGTCAAAATACCTAATCAATGACTTAATAACACCTTTTTCTTTTTCAGCCACAACAGCGCCATCACAGCCTCCTTCAGCACCAGCTGGACCTACAACAATACCTGAACAACCACCTAACCAGATCTTATTCTTGACCAATTTACCTGAAGAAACAAATGAGATGATGTTGTCCATGTTGTTCAATCAGTATGTTTTTGATAATCTCTTATTTAAACAAAATTCTGATGTTTACTGGAAACGTTTCTTCATTCCTGAAGTTCATTTCATTCAAAATTTATACCTTTATTAAGTTCATTTTTAACATTCCATTTAATTTTGCAATATGAAGAGCAAATGCACATTTTTTAATCAATACCCACTGCAGAAAAAAAAAATAAAAAAATAGAAAAATTAGTTTGGATTGAGGAAAAACTATGTTGTTCAATGCTGAAAAATGGCAAATGTAGGTTCTGCTTTACAAACTATTATGTATTATATTCCAAGAAGTATCATAAATGTGGTTTGATCTTTTCATTATAATCTATCTGATGCCTTGTAGATAAAATGTTTTTTGCTTATTTCAGATTCCCTGGTTTCAAGGAAGTTCGTTTGGTACCAGGAAGACATGACATTGCTTTTGTTGAATTTGAGAATGAGGTTCAGTCTGCAGCTGCTAAAGAGGCGTTACAAGGATTCAAGATCACTCCAACAAATGCAATGAAGATATCATTTGCTAAAAAATAGACAATTCTGATGAGGACTTAGTATTGTTGTTGTTATTAAATTTTTTATCTTGACATAATCATGCAGAAATTCAGTTCAAAAATATATAAAGAGTTTGTAAAAGGTATTGCTATTTTAAAGCGAATTTCTTGACAAAACTAAAAATTTGGTTTTACGAAGCTCTCCTAAGACTTGCTATTCAATTTAAATTAAATTTTTTTTTTAAATGTGTAGGCAAATCGTTTTACTCTAAATATTTGATTAGATATAGTTTAATACAATGGTGTTTTTTTTTATTTTTCCAAAGATTTTTTTTTTTTAATTTCAAATTGATAACTTGCTTTTAAGTTATTGAACTTAATTCACCCAATTACTGAAACAAATGCACATTTTATCATTGTTTGTTTTAGAAAGGGGTGGTGACATAGGAGAAATGGCCTTGAACAACTGTGAATATGACAGAATTGTACCAAAATATCTTATGAATTTTAATGTAATCCTGTTGTACAAAGTGGGTAGCTATTATGACTTCAAACTTTTAAATGTAGAGAGGTTAAAGAGTAAGGTTACTATAAATGAGCATACTCAATTATAAAATGTTAATTTGACAGAAATGTACGTAATTATTTGACAAATTTCAATGTAATCCTGTTGTATAAGTTTGGTAGGTATTTTCACATGAAACTGATGGAAGTTTCAAATTTTTCATTGAAATAACAGATATTAAAAGTTCAGTTTTTCTTTGGAATAACAGATATTAAAGGCTCACAGTGCAGTTGAATACTGGTAGGTAACACTTCCGGTAGGTAGATAGATATTGTTATTGGCATTGCACTGAGCCAACTGTTGTTATATACAGCATTGCACCCTCTGTCAGCTTTATACAGATATTCATCATAATCATCAGACATTCTGTGTAGCTGACATTGCACAAAGGGCTATCATCTTTGTAATTATGATTTGTCAATAAATCTGATTCATCTATTGGATTGTTTGGTTTTTATTTCTACTAAGGTAACCTACTAAATTTACTTCTTCATGTCAAACTATGTACCGTAAGTTGTAAATGAAAATTGACATGACTTTTTGTGATTTGAGGTTATTAGTTTACATTGCCTAATTGGCTATGTAAGCTATTGCCATCACTTGACAACTTTGTCATCTGTCATCGTTAACTCTATATGTCTTGCCTACAATAGTTGGGGGGAATTGTGTTTTCTGGTCTGTACATCTGTCAATCCATCCTGTATAAAGGTTCAAGTTTTGGTTTAAGGTACATTAACTTGTAAGGTAGTGCACATGTTCATTATGATGTGGATTTAAAATATATATATATGTCAAATAATGGTTTGGACCCAGATTTAATGGTTCACTGATCAGGTTAAAATTTTTAATTTACAGTAGTTTACCAAGAAGTTGTGCATGGTTCTTAGTACACATGTTTATAGGATGTTAACTTTTTGAAACACTTGCTAAATTATGGTTTTGACCAAGGTTTTGTGGTTCATAAACATAACAATGTGATAGTGTGATCAGGGATTGATATCCTATGGACACATATTCTTGTTTAAAATTCTTCTTGGAAGACCACTGGTACTATTTAAACCAACCTTAGCCTGAATGACCTAAAGAGTATCTAGAATAAAATTATTTTTTATCCTGTTCTTGTCATGCCTCTTTGAGTATAGAATTTTGGCCATGGTATACTACTGCAAGAGTTTGTCAGCGTAGCTCCTCTGAAACCACTCAACAGAACTTCATGAAACCTAGTAGATAATCAGGATATAATATGTAGATGTTCACAACAGAAAATTATCATTCAATGGTTTTTTATACGACAACAAAAATTTGCAGTCGTATAATGGTATGGCGATGTCATCCGGAGACATTTTGTTTCCAGACAATAACTTGGGAGTAGAAGTGTATGGTTTTTATACGACCGCAATTGCGGTCGTAAATTGGTATGACATCGTCGTCGTCGTCCGAAGACACATTGGTTTTCGCACTCTAAATTTAGTTTAAGTGAATGGATCTCTATGAAATTTTACCATACTGTTCAATACCACAAAAGGAATTTGGGATTGATTTTGGGGGTTATGGTACCAACAGTTAAGGAAAAAGGGGCAAAAATAAGCATTTTTGTAACTTCCAGACATAACTTGTGTGTTAGTGTATGGATCTCTCCGACATTGTACCACAAGGTTCCATATCACAAAGGGAATGCTTGGATTGATTTTGGGAGTAATTGCCTAAAAATTTTAGGAATAAGGGGCCAAAAAAGGGGCAAAAAACAAGCATTTTTCTAATTCATGACAATAACTTGTGTGTAAGTCTATGGATCTTTCTGAAATTGTACTACAAGGTTCCATATCACAAAGGGAAAGCTGGAATTGAGTTTGGGGGTAATTGCCCAAAACGTTTAGGAATAAGGGGCCAAAAAGGGGCCTATAAACAAGCATTTTTCTAGTTTCCAGACAATAACGTGTGTTCAAGTGTATGGATCTCTCTGAAATTGTACTGCAAGGTTCCACATCACAAAGGGAATGCTTGGATTGATTTTGGGGGTAATTGCTTCAAAATTTTAGGCATTAGGGACCGTAAAAGGGGCAAAAAACAAGCATTTTTCTAGTTTCATGACAATTACTCGTGTGTAAGTCTATGGATCTTACTGAAATTGTACTACAAGGTTCCATATCACAAAGGGAAAGCTGGAATTGAGTTTGGAGGTAATTGCCCAAAACGTTTAGGAATAAGGGGCCAAAAATAAGCATTTTTCTAGTTTCCAGACAATAACTTGTGTTCAAGTGTATGGATCTCTCTGAAATTGTACTGCAAGGTACCACACCACAAAGGGAAGGCTGGGATTGATTTTGGGGGTAATTGCCTCAAAATTTTAGAAATTGGGGACCAAAAAGGGGCAAAAATAAGCATTTTTCTAGTTTCAGGACAATAACTTGTTTGTAAGTGTATGGATCTTTATGAAATTGTACTACAAGGTTCCATACACAAAGGGAAAGCTGGGTTTGAGTTTGGGGGTAATTGCCCTAAATGTTGAGGTATTTGGGGCAAAAAAGGGGCCAAAAAAACAAGCATTTTTCTAGTTTCCAGACAATAACTTGTGTTCAAGTGTATGGATCGCTCTGAAATTGTACTGCAAGGTACCATACCAAAAAGGGAAGGCTGAGATTGAGTTTGGGGGTGATGAATCATAAGGGGGTTCAAAAAAAAAAAATTGGGGGTGGGGATTTTTTTTCCCTTTTTTTTCTTAAAAATTTTCCATTTTAAATTGGTTATTTCTGATTTATATATGAAAGCAAATAATAATGATATGGTTTGAATAGGTAAATTAAAATTTTTTAAGTTCTTAGACCACATTCATTCTGTGTCAGAAACCTATGCTGTGTCAAATATTTAATCGCAATCCAAATTCAGTTCTGTATCAAGCTTGAATGTTGTGTCCATACTTACCCCAACTGTTCAGGGTTCAACCTCTGCGGTCGTATCAAGCTGCGCCCAGCGGAGCATTTTTTATGAAATAGTACCACAAGGTTGGAATGAATTTGGGGATTATTGCTGTATCTGCCTAGCAATTATGGGTAAAAAAACAAGGGTGCAAAATTAAACTTTGACTGATTTTAATATGCTGAATCCAAGGATTTGTATAGTTAACTAAAAATCCTTGCTCACTTTTCAGAACAATTCTAACCACAAATTCACAAATCAAATTGAAATAACATCCCAACCACTTAGAATTACAAGCTCAAAAACCACAAATACCAATGCATGCCCAATTTCATGCCACGATTTTATTCCATATCTATTTTGCAAAAAAATTATATAATCTTCAGTTCATTATAATTATGCCCCAGCCGTAGCTGAGGGGGCATTAAGTTTTACCCTTGTCCGTCTGTACGTACGTCCCAAAATTGGTTTTTGTTCTCTTACTTTATTTTGCCTCAACCAAATGTTATGAAACTTATACACAATACTTGTTACCACAAAACTCAGATCAAGTACAAATTTGGGTAGCGTCACTTTTATCGTTCTTTAGTAATGTCCCTTTATAACTTTATATGATATGCAAGCGGGGGCATCATCTGTGTCCCATGGACACATTCCCCATTTATTTAATTCTATTATCCTTTTAACTTAGATATAATTTTATTCTGCATTTCATTTCCACTACATCATTCATGCCTAAAATTACTAAATTATCAATATAAATTTCAATTTAAGCCTGCTTTCTATATTTCATAGGCCTAAATTTAGTTGAAATCAAAGTTTTTTTGTCAAATTTCATTCTGGAAACAATGGATTTAATTTTCAGGGCTAAATATGGTCTCCAACAAACTTACTTCTTTGGTGATGTTTCTTAAAGACAGGCCTGTGACATTTTGTCTTGGAGGCAAGACATAGGAAGCCTGCATTCTGTAGGAATTATCAACATTTAGGTTCAGTCTGTGGTTAAAGTATATTTAGACATCAATAACCTTGTCAAACCTATGAAACTAGGACAAAAGCTTTATACTCAAGACGGTATCAATATAAAAATTTGCAAAACATTTTAATTTTTATTTTTATACGCCCTTTTACGGGATGTATTATGGTATGACGTTGAACGTCTGTCCGTCCGTCTGTCTGTCCGTCCGTCGTCAACATGTCGGACATAAACTCAAAAAAGATTTAACCAATATGCATGAAACTTTGGTGAATTGTTTATATCTATTGACGTGAGCTCCTTTTCGAGTTTTATAAATTTCAGATTTACCGTTTCCGAGTTTTAGGGTTTTATTCATTAAAAAAGGGGGGATTTTCCAGTTTTCCGACATTAACTCAAGAATGCTTTCACCAACTTGCAAGAAATTTTGGTGAATTGTTTATATCTATTGACATGAGCTTCCTTTCAATTTTTAAAAATTTTAGATATTACGTTTCCGAGTTACAGGGTTTTATTCATAAAAAAAGGATGATTTTATAGTTTTCGGACAATAACTAAAAAATGCTTTCAGCAGTTCTCATGAAACTTTGGTGAATTGTTTATATCTGTTCATGTAAGCTCTCTTTAGAATTTTATAAATTTTAGATTTTACATTTCTGAGTTATGGGGTTTTATTCATTAAAAAGGGGGGATTTTCCAGTTTTTGGACAATAACTCAAAAATGCTTTCAGCAGTTCTCATGAAACTTTGGTGAATTATTTATAGCTATTGATGTAATCTCCCTATTGATTTTCATAATTTCAAATATGACATTAAGAAGAAATTGAACTTTATTTGTTTATAGTCTGACAACAGATTTACTAAGTATTGCGCAACAGCACAGTGTATTGCACAACTGCAAGAAATAATTCAATTCCTGTAACCAATTTCAAGTTCTTTGACTACATTTATTCAGAAACCTATAATATGTCAAATATTTAATTACAATCCAAATTCAGACCTGTATCAAGCTTGAATATAGTGTCCATTTTTGCCCCAACTGTTCAGGGTTGGACCTCTGCGGGCGTATCCAGCTGTGCTCAACGAAGCAGTTTATTAGTATTTACTGATCGATCAATAGACTGCAGTTGGTTCAATTTCTCTAATACGCCTAGAAATAAGGAATACAATTAAAATATTCAAATTAAAAATCTCCATGCAATGATATTGGACATGATGCTATTTTGGATAATTGACTGACCCTAACCATGTGTGTTTTTTAAGAGCAGTTGAACACACATTAAAGATGTAAAAATGATTTATTTATTGTTTGTAAAGAACTAAATTAATTTTGCAGATAATTTAACTGTGAAAATACAGATTTTTTACTTGCTAAAGCCATCACACAGGGCCTTTTGAGGGTTTCCAAATTTGTGCAGTTTGTCTTTTCATCGTTTTTGTCGAGCCTGCGACTTTTGTCGCAGAAAGCTCGACATAGGGATAGTGATCTGGTGGCGACAGCGTTAGCTAACTTATTATAAGCTTTATATTTTCCAAGGTGGAAGACCTGGATGCTTCATACTTTGTATATAGATGCCTTATGTTATGAAGTTTCCGTCTGTCATATGTCCATTGTCCTTGACCTCATTTTCATGGTTCAGTGACTACTTGAAAAAAAAGTTTGTAATGTTAATTTCTCTCATATTATGAGTAATAGGATAACTATATTTAATATATGCGTACCTTGCAAGGTCCTCATGCCCGTCAGACAGTTTTCATCTGACCTCGACCTCATTTCATGGATCAGTGAACAAGGTTAAGTTTTCGTGGTCAAGTCCATATATCAGATACTATAAGCAATAGGTCTTCTATAATTACTGTATGGAATGATTGTAAAGTGTACATGTCAAACTGGCAGGTGTCATCTGACCTTGACCTCATTTTCATGGTTCAGTGGTTAAAGTTAAGTTTTTGTGTTTTGGTCTTTTTTTCTAATACTATATGCAATAGGTTAACTATATTTGGTGTATGGTAATATTTTACAATGTACATGTCAATCTGGCAGGTTTTACTTGACCTTGACCTCATTTTCACGGTTCATTGCTCAGTGTTTAGTTTTGATGTTTTGGTCAGTTTTTCTTAAACTATAACTGATAGGTCAACTATATTTGTTGTATGGAATGATTGTAAGGTGTATATGTCTGTCTGGCAGGTATCATCTGACCTTGACCTCATTTTCATGGTTCATTGGTCAATGTTAAGTTTTCATGGTTAAGTTTGTTTCTTAGATACTATAAGCAGTAGGTCAACTATATCTAATGCATAGATTGATTGTAGTATTTAATGCATAGATTGATTGTAAGGTGTACATGTCTGTCTGGCATGGTTCATCTGACCTTAACCTTATTTTCATGGTTCATTGGTCAATGTTTAGTTTTCCTGTTTAAGTCTCTTTCTTAGAAACTATAAGCAATAGGTCAACTATATTTGGTGAATTGAATGATTGTAAGGTGTACATGTATTTCCGGTTTGGTTTATCTGACCTTGACCTCATTTTCTTGGATCATGTTAAGTTTATGTGATACTTTTAGGTGTAATACCACCAAATCATAGTACGTCACATCCGGTTGCATACGAAAATAGGTCGAAAAAAAATATTCCCTTGAATTTGACAGTTGTAGGTAATTGATCCTACATTTCATTGCAGTAAAACATTTCTGAGTCATAAACATATATCTTAGGTATTTCAAAGCACCATTATTTCTTTATTTGGGGTTTCTATAGAATATTTTGGAAACTTGAGGTTACATGGTTACTAAAGCTTGTACACAGGTTAAAAAAGGGGGAAAATTTGATTGGTTAACTTCCAGTGATGGTTATTTTCTTATATGCAATGAAATGTTATGTGAAATTTTTTCTATAGTACTGGACAGGATAAAACTTTACTCATGCCAAGTATTTCTTTATTTGAAACAAAGATAAATTCTGCACAATTTTTTGAAAAGTGCAAATTTAACAAAGACTAATAGGGGAAAATCAATGGTGGTATTACACCTTTAGTAAAGCTTTATATTTAGGACTATCAACATAAAATCAATGGTCAGTGAAGAAGGCGAGACATTTCAGCGTGTGCACTGTTGTTTGCTTTTTGCAATGACATTATCAGTTTGTTTACGACTTATGAGTTTGAATATCCCTTTGGTATATTTTGTCTCTCTTTTTCCTGCCCTGATTAATTTAGCCACCGTGACTTGATATCCTAAAATCTTTTACCACATCTGCAAAAATGTCTCAGCTTCAAAACGAGTCATCATACATTTATGATATGAACAACTGAATGGAAGAAAAGGTTGCAATTGTATTTAGACCCAGTTAGCATTAAGAAACAGTCATAGGTAAAAGTTTTTCATAACTCAACATTTTTGTCAAACCTTCATTGAATTTTAGGAACTTTGGATGTTTTTTCTGTCGGATAAAAAAACGTATCCAGAGCAAATTTTGAAATCTTTGTCCATTTTACTGATAAATGAACCCTTTCCCCAGTTCACCTTTATATACAGTTTAATGCTTCAAGTTTCCCAGTCATCAATAACTTTGTTAAACCTTCATGGTATGTTATGAAAATTAAACAGGAGCTTCTTCAAGATCAAGAAATAGCATTTAGGGAAAACGAATTTTAACTCCTTAGTTATTGCCCTTGAGCACCAATTTTGGGCTAGTTTCTTGAAAACTATAATAAACTGAGAGAAACTGGAAACAGCGAAAATGAATATAAAAAGATATTTATCAAAGCCAATATAAGAGATTTTGCCCTTAAATAAGAATGTTCCCAACATTTGCGATTTTAGCAATTACTTGTTAACTTGATTGAGAGAAACTGTAACAGCAAAAGTGCTCAGCAAGATAAGATCTACAAAATTTCATTTATCTCTGACATTCTCAATATTCTCCTCATATTAGTTATCGCCCTTTAAGGATGATTTTTATCCATATTTTGGCTATTATCTTCCATCTTATAAAAGAGGAAACATTAGCGACAGGTGGGCAGTACAGGCTCCTATGACATTAAAGTAAACAACAATCTAAAAAAAAATATCAAAATAAGATAATTTTGACAGGTGCGCGAATATGGCTCTATGGAGCTTCTCGAGTTTAGTCAGCATGCACTAGCAAGTGATTTTGTCTTTGAAAGGGAATTAGAGGCGTGTCGTATATCTAGGTTTTAATTTATTTGTTAAAGCCATGCGTAACTTTCCTGTTTGGCTATGCGGAATGTAAAAAAATGGTCGCCACGGCCGGTCGGAATCATGAGAGACGTTAAATCCAATGCTTCGTGTATGGTGAGTGCCACGCCCTCCGGGTCCCGATCGACGGACGTTCAATTCTCTGAGGAGTTGCTAGGTAGCCTCTTACAAGTCAAAGTATATGCCCCTATCCAACATACCCTCACTAATTTCCCAGTGGCAGTCCAAATTTTCAGCCCTTCAGCCCGGTCGAGATACCGGCTATTGTACTAATTGTTAATTTGTTTTCGTCCTGCCTGAATATGCATGATATATTTGCCACTGGACGTTAAGCAAGCTACAGACAATTAATCGGAATCTATAGTCTTTTCCAAATATATAATGCCTTTGATTTTGCTCAGTCTCTTTCATCCTTTTTTGAATTTGCACAACTGACATGTTGTTAGCTCATTTTCAAAAGACGATATCTATGATCATCTATATTGCCCGCCACGCTCACAAATTAATATTTTACACACTTTTGTGAAATTTAACATGCTTTTGATTTAAATATACCCGGGTCTACACTGTCGTCAAGTCTAAATATAGTATCAAAACAACTATGTATATCATAATCACATGGGTTTTACACATTTATTGATCATATTTACCATTCACACATTGTAGAACATGCCAATATTGATTGAATATTTTATTGATAATGAATAGACGTTTAACTAAAGACTTCTATCATTTAATTAACAATATAGAAAAACTTTCTGATGGACAGGCGAGAATTTGTGAGTGGGATTCTTGTGATATATCGAAATTTGTCATAGAAGTGAGCCCATCTGATGGACCTTATAAAGGCGGAAAATTCAAATTTAAGGTAATATTGTTATGATAAACCATTTTTGAAATTGCACGGTTATTAGACCATGCGTCAAATACCAGACCATAAATATTTAGGAAAAAGGGGAATTGTGTAAGTAGGGCCATTTGAAAAAATGGTGGTGAAATTGTGGAGAGACTATGAGAAATAGAACTGGCATGGGTCCCTTTCTTTATTATTGACTGATATTTCCTCGTTTTCATCACTCGAAAATTTGTAATCAATAACTCTGAATTTTCCTGATTGGGAACGCTGTTTTAGTGTTCTAGAATTGACATGTACCGATGGTAACTGTAATTCGGTTATGTCTTGGAGTAATTAAGACAAGATCTGTTGTATATTCCGCTTTTGTGTGATGAGTTCAAGTTATCGGTCATCGACGGAATTTTGTATGATGAATTCAAGTTATCGGTCATCGATGGAAGTTTGTTTGATGCATTCAAGTTATTATCGGTCATTAATGGAATTTTTAAGAGTATAACACAACTGGTGTCACTAGTCAGATCAGTAACTGCTATCCCTCAGAGTCATGTGTATCCGAGATCAATCCTATTTTGGGTTGAGTTTGTGTTGTTCAGTTTATAGTTGTTATTTTTCCTTTAGTTTCGTGGCGTTTTATGCACCATTCTAGGAGTATATATAGGGCTATATTGCAATAACTTTGTCGTCCGTTCTTCCAACAAATCTTTTTGTTGCAATTTTCGCATGTACTAATTGAAAACATGATTTATTATATTTGCTCAGACGCTTGAAGGCGATGAGTAATAACATTTTTGCACTTTTCGAATCTGTCGGACACCTTATTTCTGTCTTTCCTATACTTCGAATTTTTCAATATGTTGAACGAACTTAATATTTTCGTCACATATTTCTTCAGTACAACTGAACAAAATGACTTAATTTCCGGTCAGCAGCTTGACAGAGATATATCCTAAACGTGTAAGCGCTTTTCGGATATAAAAGAATTTTCAAAAAGCTTTATCAACTAATACAAAAAATGGCATCAAAGTGTCCTAATCAGAACAGAATAATTACAATTTTAATTGTCACTAAAAGGCAAAACATACAATCCTAAACATGATTTCAATGATTATAACATACTGAAGAACTATACATATGATAAACTGGAAAATGAAAAAAAAAAATAACACAAAACAGCAATATGGATTTATTACTTTGAACACATAATTTCTTGTTATAAAGGATGGATGGATGGATGGCTGCTTAACGTCCAGCGGCAACTTTATATGCATATTCAGGACGAGAACATGTTAATGTAATATGAATATAAGCCCTGCTTTGTGCAAGACTCACGCTGAGTCGGATTTTTAACGTGCTAGTTCACAAGGTAACAGTCCGCAGGAAGACATGTCACCTTACCCGGACACATTATTCTGACTGTCACTCCCAGCTGACCACTCTTTGCTCTTACTCCTTAAAGCCGCGTCCTTAGCGGAGAAGCAGCAAATACAAACTTTAAAGTCTCACGTTTAACACGCTACCACGAGACCACCGCGGCGGTCTCATGTTATAAAGGGGGAGAGTTTCTAATTAAGTCTTTTATTCATTTGTGCATCGATCTCTTTCTTGGGATGCTTCAACAGTTTATATAAGATAAAGTATTTGTCTTCATCAGAAAGTTTACTAAAATTCTTATTAATTTATTATTATTTGATCAAAGTATGGTTTCCGTACTGTTACTAAGCTTGACCATTTGATTTGAAAAAAATGAATTTCATCTGGACCTCAACAAAATTCCTATTGCCAATCTAATACATTAAATATAAGACGTTTTTATACCTTTGAGCAACACGACTTTTAGTATATCGAAAAAGCAAAATATGCCATAATAAAAAGGCATTCAAAATGCATTTACTCCTTTTAGTTGTAGATAGAAAACCACAAATGTGAATTTATTATTGATGCTGCAGGTTCCTAGATCAAAAGTACTTGGATAGACATATTTTAATGAATATGACATTATAATATCAACCAAATAAAGTATTTTCATCATTTTCAATTTTCACTATACCACTTAGCATGATATGCAAAATAATGTCAACGAACTGGAGTCTCGATAACCAAAAAAAAAAAACGAATCTGGCATTGTTTTGTGTTACTTTTACTTGGAATTAGTTGCATATGTGTATAAATGATCGACTTGTCAAACAAAAAAAGATATAAAGACCAAAATTGTTTTAAAAGGAAATACATTTTATATTAATCTGACACAAATAACAAAAACAAAACTATAAAAGTTCAAAATAACTAATTACTACATCGTGAAATGTGAATAAATATATAAACAAGTTTGACGTCTTTATTTGTTGTTATTAAAGACATTCTGTTTGGTTTTGACTTTATTTAAAAAACAAAATGCCTCTATCCATTGTCACAAGATGGTTTATTCTTTTAAAAATAGTTTCACCCATAATAACAGCAATTATACCGATCTAAATACACGATTGACCTTTATTTAGAAACTCATAAGAAACTATGGTTTCAACTCCCTCCGGTAAAGTTAACTTTCGATGAATTTGCCTATTATTATTTTTATGTCCTTTTTGGTCGTATAGCCCTTTAACGCGGTTTCGATTCTTATAATCCTTGGGTTTCAAATATTTGGCATTGAGCGTTCGAATTCCCGATGATGGTAAATCCAGAAAAGCGCTTCAGACGCATGAAATTTATAAAGTGTTGTATTCATATTTTATACACCTACGTGAGTTCATCATTCTTCTTCGATATAAGAACTTTCTTTACCAGTACCTCGAATTACTAAGAGTGAAAGAGAATGTTATACTGACTAATTATTTTACCAATCTTACCGGCCTTCCGGAGCCCCTGAGATCACCCCCAGTTTTTAGTGGGGTTCGTGTTGCTCAGTCTTTAGTTTTCTATGTTGTACATGTGTTTTGTGTACTGTTGTTTGACTGTTGGTTTTTTCCTTTTTTTTATCCCTGTCGGGCGTTGTCAATTTTCGACTTATGAGTTTGGATGTCCCTTTGATACCTTTCGCCTCTCTTTTATAGCCATACATATTAAATGTGGAATGGAATTGACATACGTGTGTTGACTAATCCATTTATACATAAGTTCATTGATAAATGAGTAATTCAAATGTTTTATTTTTGGGTTTTTTTTTTCAGTTTGACGTAGTTGAATTATTCTACCCTATTCTCAAACCAGATATTAAGTGTATTACACCGATTTACCATCCAAATATCGACACACTGGAACCAGATGACAATGATCTCATATCAAATGTTTGTGTCAGTATGTTAGATGACTGGAAACCAGTGAATGGACTTGATGACTGTATCCAAGCCTTATTGTACCTATTCTACCAACCAAACACAACAGACTCACTGAGACTAGCAGATGGCGATACAGAGAACCAGTTTTTAGAAAATGTTCAGAGTTCCCTGAAAGGAGGAACAGTGGAAGGTTGTTATTTCCACCCAAATTATGGATGGGTAGAGAATTCTAAACTTTGTGACGATCTAAACCCATATGAATGTCAGTCTGAACCACCGAAAAAGAAATTATGCAAACGATTATAAACTAATTTAGAGGACAATGCGACCATTTGATACAAACCTTACAAAATAAATACTTTACAAGTATAACAGTTTTGACATTTATTAAAACAGGAAAACGTACGAGTGAGCCCCCTTCACTGCCTTGCGTTGTCCACCGTGGTAAAGTTTGTCTAACGGAAATCATATCGAAACCTTCATCACTTTTATCAAGGTGACGATCGGTAAACTTCGGCACCAAAACACGAAAATTAATTTACAGCCCAAGTTTTCGATCAACAATCAACGAAATACAATCAAATACTTTATGTCGAATATTCGTTATGGATTCGCAATAAAAGTACATGAAGCATGCACAGAGGAGTTTAGTATATATATGCATGAATTAGTTCGATAATCCCTTAACATTATAATTACCAGAAACTCGTTTGTTCAAATGACTTTAAAGCCACCATCAAAGTATCAATCAATAACTGACTTTAAGCCACCATCAAAGTATCAATCAATCTATAGTTTCCTTTATAGTATTTAAACGTTTTGAGCTAAAATAATTATTTGACTAAATACCTATATTAACAAAGACCTGTTCTAATTTTTCGGAGAGAAAAAGTGAGAATAAAAAATTAAAAATTAACTTAATTTCAATGTTAATTTCTGTATACGGAAATCCAGAATCACTTGCAAAAACAGGAAAACACTTATCACAACAGCTGAACGAAATACGATTAATGACTGTTCATAGAAATCTTTAAGAAACAAAAAAAGGAAACAGAAATTCAATTAACAGGAAATTTAAAATATATGAAACAATTTCCGGGATATAATTTGAAGTAATTTCTACATTTTCTTGTACAGTTCTAAATAATTTCTTGCACAGAAATTGAACAAGGCAAACAGCTGCATGTGACCCAGAAAAAGCTCACAGTTTTGCCAAGAATTGATATACGAGATTTCCATTAAAACAGGTCGGAGTGTTTGAGCTTCTGTTATTGTTAGACACATGGTAATCTGTCCTTGGGTTGGCAAGAGCTGATCATGTTTCCAAACTTTCACAAATTCATGTTTTTTTGTATTTTGAAATAATTGGTACAGGTAGTTTCGTTTTATTTTTGTACTCTTAACGCTTGCCTGTATCCCCACTTTCATTATTTTTATGTCCCACCTAGAGGCATTATGTTTGTCCGTCTGTGCTTCCGTTTGTTCGTCCGTCCGTTCGTCCGTCTGTCCCGCTTCAGGTTAAATTTTTTGGTCAAGGTAGTTTTTGATGAAGTGGAAGTCCAATCAACTTGAAACTTAGTGCTCATGTTCATTCACTTCCAATTTCACGGTCCAATGAACATAGAAAATGATAGTGCGAGTGGGGCATCCGTGTACTATGGACACATTCTTGTTCCCAATGGAATTACCCTAAATGGTAGTGTGGGTTGCTAGAGTTATTTTCACACGGTGTGTTTGTCTCTGCATGCTTTCAATTCATTAAAATACGCTCTTTTGTAAACCCTAACGAACTGTACAAATATTACTTAACTTTATGGTTTTAAAGAGGCAGCAAATGTAAGAGCACGAATGACATTCACAATGTACAGAAAAATGTTTGATGTTTTATAAATATGCGAATAACATACTAGTATCTAAATCACTGTTGTTAGGAAACTATTACGTATACTAGGATAAAACTTATTTCCTTTCATGAGATGGTAAGTATACGTATGGTATCCGTTGTTTAAATAAACTCAAAATAATTATTGATTGATTAAAAGTTGCTTGTTGTGCGTCCAGTGCCGAATATTTCATGCATTTTCAGGACAAGAACACATTAACAATCCATACATAAGTAAAAGTAGGTCGACCGGGATGAGGGGTGGAAAATTTGGACAATCACTAGAAAGTGAGGACAAGTTGGATATATAGGGGCATAAACTTTGTTTTGCAGCAGGCCACCCATAAGAACCCCTCAGAGAGTTGTTGCAAGGGTTCTTTTACGCGCAGAGAGCATGGCACTCACCCTACACGTATACGAGGCTTGAATATTCTAGTCCTTAGTTTTGTAACTTGTGAACATATGTTTTATAAAATAAAATATTGATATTTTGTTCTTCGTTGTTTTTGTCATTGTCTGTACGTGTTTATCGGAGGAATCTGATGTTGGTGGTCTGTCGTGCTGTCGGTTAATAAATTATTATATGTACTCATTGTTGAAGACCGTACGGTAACCTATAGCTGTTAACTTATGTCATTTGGTCTCTGGTGGAGAGTTGTCTCATTGGCAATTATATCACATCTTCTTATTTTTATACACATAAATATAAAAATAAGAAGATGTGGATGATTGCCAATGAGACAGACGACGGACGACGGACGCCAAGTGATGAGAAAAGGTCCAGGTGAGCTAAAATTGAAAACACGACAGAGGTGAGACCTCTTTCTCTGCCTTCCAATCCTCGTAGAACCAAAATAGACATATATAACCCCGCCACATTCTGTATGTGCCTGTCCCAAGTCAGGAGCCTGTAATTCAATGGTTGTCGTTTGTTACTGTATATCATATTTGTTTTTCGTTCATTATTTTGTACATAAGGGAGCTACCATTTGATTTTTAGGGGGGGGGCTAGGATGAAAAATTGTGTCCTGCATTTTTTTTTTTTTTTTGTAATCTCTGTCCTGTCTTTTTATTTTTCACTCTATTCGGTCCTGCATTTTTTTATTAGTTTATCCTGACTTTTTTTTACATATATTGTCATCCTGCCTTTTTTTTTTGCAAAGTTGCTCATTCTGCCTTTATTTTTTACACAAAACACCTGTCCTGCCTCTCGTTTGAATTTTTTTACATTTGTCATGGCCTTTTATAGCTGACTATGCGGTATGAGTTTTACTCATTGTTGAAGGCCGTACGGTGACTTATAGTTGTCTCGCTGGCAATCATACCACATCTTCTTATTTTAATATTAACTATTCAGATCGATAAAAATAACAAAAACACAGACCGGACGTGGCAGGGTATTTATACATCTCTAACAACAAAAAAGACACAAAGTACTGATCTGAGAGTATTCGCAGTTACTGGCAGCTAGTTCAAGGACAACTAATCAACCACACTTGGCCACAATCACTATTAGGGTATGTAGTTTAAAAAATGTGTCCGATGATCCCGCCTGCCGACAAACATGGCCGACATGGCTAATGAAATGCTCCTCGGGGCGCAGCTTGATAAGACTGCAGAGGTCGAACCCTGAGCAGTTGGGGCAAGTATGGACACTGCATACGTTATTGATACAGTTCTGAAATTGGACTGTGATTAAATATTTGACACATCGTAGGTTTCTGACATAGAATAAATGTTGTCAAAGAACAGTTTTTAGGCTTAATATATATGTATAATCGCCTAAAAAGTGTACAAAACAACACCAATATTAAGAAAAAGGAAACATTAAATGTAAGTATCTATAAATATTTCGGATAAAGATCTGATATCCTTCATCAGTATGATTATGATGTTATTTATATTATAAATATGTATATAGCATTTTGAAAATAAATTAATACAGAATAAAAAACAAACCTAACACGAAGTTCTTCAAAACAAAAAATACAAAAAAAAATGAAAAAAAACAATTTCCAAAATATCATTCATCATTAATACAGCCCTTCCTGGAGTGGTACTATCAGAAACTGTACATAATCATCTCTATATGTTAACAAACTCAGTTTTTTGTTTTAAACATCTGTTAAGTAATATTATCTGTCCCTTTATCAGCATGAGATGACAGATTTACAGCTCTACTTAACCATTTTATAATTGAGAGAAAAATATGAAATTTTCATTCGGAAGGGTTTAGATGTAAAACTGAATACAAAGTCTTTAAAAAATCTATAAAACTTACCATTCATTATATTTAAAATATCTAATAATGAACAGTTAATTTCAAACTATATTTATACATAATTTCTTCTCTGAAATTAGATTTGATGCTATATCTATTTTAACTATGACTCTGCTTATAATTTCTATTAATTGTGCAACACAGCTCTGAATTTGGATTGTGATTATATATTTGCCATAGCATAGTTTCTGACACAGAATGAATGTGGTCTAAGAACTTAAAAAATTGAAATTGGACATTTACCTATTATCCAAAATCTAAATACATGTTTAAATTCAGCACATCAAAGAACCCCTTGAATTCAATTTTGTTAAAATCAAACAACGTTTAATTTTGGACCCATTGGACCTTAATGTGGACCAATTTGAAAACTGGGCCCAATATTAAAAATCTAAATACAAGTTTAGATTTAGCATATCAAAGAACCTCATATATTCAATTTTTGTTGCAATCAAACAAATTCAATTTTGGACCCTTTGGACCTTAAAATGAACCAATTCAAAAACAGGGCCCAAAATCCAAAATCTAAATACACGGTTAGATATTGTATATTAAAGAACCCCAAGAATTCAAGACTATGTATTAAACCGCATTGAAATTGGTCAAGAAATAATCAATGTATACAAAGTATTAGAAAAGTATTGTTTTTGGTCTCTGTTTCCAAATGGCTAGGGTCATAACCCCTGAAATCAATCCCAACCTTCTTTTTTTTTGGTATGGAACCTTGTGGTACAATTTCATAGAGGTCAAAAGACTTATACTCAAGTTATTATCCGGAAACCAGAAAATCTTAGGTTTTTCGCCCCTTTTTGGTCCCTAATTTCTAAAAGGTTTGGGCCATGACCCATAAAATCAATTCCAACCTTGTGGTAAAATTACATAGAAATCCATAAACTTATACACAAGTTATTGTCCTGAAACAGGAAAAATGATTGCTTTTGATCCCTCTTTGGTCCCTAATTCTAAAACAGCTAGGACAATAAACCCCAAAATCAATCCCAGCCTTCCTTTAGTGGTATGGAACCTTGTACTACAATTTTTTAGGGGTCAATATACTTTTACCCAAGTTTTTGTCTGAAACCAAATGTCTTCGGACGACGACGACGTAAACAACGCCATAACATTATACGAACGCAAAATTTTTGCGATCGTATAAAAATAGAACATGGGGGTAAAATGCAATAATTGTCTATTATCTTGAAAACTGCTGTAAATAGAGAAACTCTGACTGATACAAAAATGTTCCGAATGATTAGATCTACATAATGTTAATTGACATCAAAACCGTCAGACGACTTCTTATATGAGTTATTGCCCTTAAACAACGAATTTCACCAATTTTTTTGCATTTTTGCCTATTATCTAAAATAAATGGGGAATGTGTCCATAGGACAAAGATGATGCACCCGTTTGTATATCATATACAGTTATAAGGGGACATAACTGAAGAACGGTAAAAGTGACGCTACCCAAATTTGTACTTGATCTGAGTTTTGTGGTAATAAGTGTTGTGTATAAGTTTCATAACATTTGGTTGAGGCACACTAAAGTTAGAGAACGGAAACGAAAAATTCATCATTTTTTTTCCATTTGTAAAGGAACATAACTCTAGAACGGTTAAAGTGACGCCACCAAAATTCAAACTTGATCTGTGTTTTGTGATAATAAGCATTGTGTATAAGGTTTATAACATTTGGTTGAGGAAAACTAAAGTTAGAGAACGGAAACCAACTTTGGAACGGACAGACGGACGTACGAACGAACGGACAATGGTAAAACTAAATGCTCCCTCCGCTACGGCGGGGGCATAAATATATAATAGATAGACAGAAATTTCGAATTGCAAAAATGATCAGCAAGACCAGATCAACAAATAAGTCGGCATGAACGAAATCGTTAGTTGATTCCTCAATGGAGTTATTGCGCGTTAATGAAGATTTTCCACAACTTTTGCATTTTTACCCATTATCTTGAAAACTATATACTAGATAAAAAGAAACTTTGAAAAGAAAAAAATGATCAGCAGGATAAGATCTTCAAATACGCCAGCATAACTGAAATTGCCAGTTAACTCTTAATAGAGTTATTTCCCTTAAATGACCATTGTTTAAGATGCAGGTGAGTGACACAGGGTCTTTATAGTTTCTAGTTCAACAGTATAAACAGTATAAGGCTGGCAACCCGTCCATTTCAAAGTGTTTAAAGGTAGCTTATCTCATTTGTGGAACAAGGGGGCAAACCTCATGCATAAAACATATTCATATATTAATGGTTGTGTAGCAAAGACTACAAGAGTAATTACAGTAAATGATCTCTTTTAAGAATTTTACTTATATATATGTTAAAATCCCTGATGAACTTTCAATGGGCTTTGTTGGTGGTTGTTGATGCCTGTTGTGTTGTCCAGTTTTGTCTCGCCTGCGACGAAAGACTAAAACGCGAGACATTAGGATTACTATCCGGTGTCGTTAACTGTTTGTATAAAGCTTTATATTTAAGGTGGTAGAAGACCTGGATGCGTCATATCTTGTATGCAGATGCCTTATGTTACGACTTTTCGGTCTGTCGTTTGTCCATTGTCCTTGACCTCATATTCATGGTCAAGCGACTGCTTAAAAAAATTGTTTAATCTTTTTTTGTCATGTGAAGTACTAAAATTGAGAATGGAAATGGGGAATGTGTCAAAGAGACAACAACCCGACCTTATTATGATTAATTGGATAACTATATATAATTTGGTATATGGGACCCTTGCAAGGTTTACATGTCCGCAGTGACCTTGACCTCGTTTCATGAATCAGTGTACAAGGTTAAATTTTCATTGTCAAGTCCGTATATTATAAGCAATATGACAACTATTTATTTGGTGAATGAAAGGTTGTAAGGTGTACATGTCCGACTGATAGGCTTCATCTGACCTTGACCTCATTCCATGGTTCATTGGTCAATGTTAAGTTTTGTGGTTTGGTCTGTTTCTCAGATACTACAAACAATGGGACGTATGTAATGATTGTAAAGAGTACATTTCTATTTGGCAGGTTTCGTGCAGTTTCTGTCTTGCAGGGTTCATCTGACCTTGACCTCATTTCATGGTTCATTTGTCAATGTTAAGTTTTTGTGGTTTGGTCTATTTCTCAGATACTACAAACAATAGGACCGCTGTTTTTGATGTATGTAATGATTGTAAAGTGTACATGTCTGTTTGGCAGGTTTCGTGCAGTGGCTGTCTTGCAGGGTTCATTTGACCTTGGACCTCATTTTTACGAATCATTTGTCTTTGTCAATGTTTAATTATCGTAATTATGTCTGTTTCTCGAATTATATGAGCAACCATATATATAAGGCTAACTATATTTGGTGTATGGTATTACTGTATTATTAAAGGTGTACATGTCTGTCTGGCATGGTTCATCTGATCTTGATCCCATTTACAAGGATCATTGATAATGTTATGTGTATGTGATACTTGCAGTAAAACCTTAATATTAATATAGACCTTCAACATAAATTCAATCATGATAAGTTAACTCATGTTTACCTTGCATGATCTTTAATAACACAAAAAATGCATTTTATATTGTATGGTCAGCATAGAACACAATGCTCCATAATTGAGGTTCAGTTGCTCAGGAACATATATACTGTTCCCAGAGTTGCTACTTCGGTTTTTGATAGAAAATATACAATATAAATATACCAAGGAGACTAGTTCAATTAATGGCATATATTTTTATTCGTATAAATTTATTATCTGTCGTAAAAAAACAAAAACAAACTAACAATGGAAAATGAAAGACACATGTAGATAAGTAATAATTGACTATTGCACACAATTGTAATATTATAGCACCATACTATCATCTCCATTTATATACCCTTCTTATAAAATATGTGCACATAACTGAAATAAGAGTATCATACGCGACTAGATTGTCAAATGCATGGTATAGTTCTGTAAAATTATTTGAATGTTTTGAGTATCTTGTGTGAGACGTAGATACTTGGTCACGTGATTGTAATTCTGTTGTAGCTTTTATTTTGTAGTCATTTTGATCTGAAAGTTTTGTTTCCTTTTCTTGTCTTTCTTTAGGCTCTGAATTTACTGCTGTTAATATCTCGTTGTCATCATTAGCATTTTCGTTTGATGTTTTATCGGTTCTGACATCAGCTATTTCCTTTATATTTTCCAGGTTACCTTCATCACCAACTTCTTTTTCATGTTTTGCGATCAATTCTTCTGATTTTTCTTGTAAATCTGCAGTTTCAACATTTTTTTCGTCATCTTCCTGAACCTTTTCTTCATTATTATCGCCACACTTCACTATATTGTTATCGACGTAACCATAATTTGCTTCAAATGGTTGTCCCTCAACATCTCCCCCTTCCAAAGATCTCCTGACATTATCCTCAAACTCATCTTCTGTTATAGCTGGACATATAAGTGGGCAAAGTGGGTCTTCAGTGTTAGGATTATAGAACAAAAACAACAAGGCTTGCACACAGTCATCGAGTTCGTTGTCTTCGGTCCAATCGTCTAGTAAACTCACACATATATTAGTATCTTCAAAGCTATCTCCTATAGTATCAATATTTGGATGGTATATTGGTGTGGTACAGATGATTTGGGGTACAATTTCTGGATAATTTTCTGTGCACATTTGAAACTGAAAGATAACACGAAAAAGCTTGTTAGTGTTTATGTTGTTGTATCTAGCATATTGTTATAACTCATATATGATACATATAAATCAACTAAACCGAGTGAACTTAACCATTTGGAAATGTCAAGAGACCATTAAGATAGCCTAGCTACTAAGCTATTAACCATTAGCCCACTTCTATAAGTTGTTCTTTTTTTAATCCATGTGACAGTCTTAGTAGACTTGGTACAAACCCAGTCAAGGATACTTTAATGGATTTTTTTTTCTATCTATATGGTAGCAGGGGTATTGAAATACTATATTATAGTGTAGACGTGTTTCCTGGGCTCCTATTCAGCAGCAGGACCATAAATGATTATTATTTCAATGAAATTATAATTATCCACCGTTTCTTCTGGTTCACTCACTTCTTTCCTTTTTTAAATAATTATATCATTTGTTTTTGTCATAAATATTCATAGATAATCTGCACGTTATAAGCAAATCATGATCAATCAGATTCACATTAGACCATGGTCTAGCCGTGAAATTCTATCAATTTATCTGACAGATAATCGGTTGGAAATAGAGAAAGGAACTGCATGCAAATAGGATTGTATTGTATATGACGCCTATCCCTTCAGCAAAACCGACTTGTAAATTAAGTCAAAACGGTTTGACCCGTTAGAAATCCTTATATAACATCAAATCAAATAAATTCTGATTCTTTCGTTTTCCAGTTTACAGATATGAATTTAAAAAAAAATAGATATATCATGTATCATAGGTCAAATTTATTTGTTCAGTGTATGTTCACTGGTGTTAATATGTCCTTTGATTGAGTTAAGCTATTTCAGTTGATATTTTATAGTGTGTCTTTCTATGTTGCGATGTTACACTATTGTTTCAGAAAAAGGGTGAAGGTTTTGTACCATTAAAACGTTTAAACCCGCTGCAATTGTTTGCACCTGTCCTAAGTCAGGAATCTGATGTTCAGTAGTTGTCGTTTGTTGATGTGGTTCATAAGTGTTTCTCGTTTCTCGTTTTTTATATAGATTAGACCGTTTGTTTTCCCGTTTGAATGGTTTTACACTAGTAATTTTTGGGGCCCTTTATAGCTTGATGTTCGGAGTGAGCCAAGGCTCCGTGTTAAAGACCGTACTTTGACCTATAATGGTTTACTTTTATAAATTTTGACTTGGATGGAGAGTTGTCTCATTGGCACTCATACCACATCTTTATATATATATGTACATCAATTAGCAGCAATCATGGCCAACGACAAAAAAAAAGCAAGTCTGAGATTACTCTGAGGTCTGATGACATTTTTTAGAATTTTCTTGGACCGAGGGTCACAAAACCAAGCGATCTACTGGTCAATATATCTTTTTTTTTCTAACAATATACCCAGACTAGCTTTTATAGTTTCCTTTGTAGTATAACTGTTTGGCCAAATGTTTGAAAGTCATAATCTGTACTGAGTAAGAAGTATAAAGCTAAAACAGATGAGAGGTTTTTGGTATTTTTATGATAGAATGTAAATAAAATGTAAAAGTCAGCTGAAAATCCTATGAAAGGGAATTTCATGAGGAATATATGGTATTAAAAAAACCCATGCAGAACATCAAAATCGGATCTGAAATTTTCGGTTTCGATTTAATAATTCTCTTTATCACCTTAGCTAATGTAAAGACCGACCCCAAATAAAAACATATAGCTATGATAGATCTCCCTAAATAAAATTCAAACAAACTAATCAAAAATACAATTTACTGGGACCTCTAACGTTTTTCCTCAGTACCACAGCTATAGGTGGCTTTATCTGCTATTTTACAATTATGAAATTAATCCGGTAATACAGGACAGTTTCATTTTCTAAAAATACCGTAATATATGTATAAACCTACCGTAAATTTAAACTTGCCACTTGCGTATGGACCCCCGGATGGGGCTATTTCCAGCACAAATGTGGAACAATCATCTGGGTCCCAGTCACATATACTGGCCTGTCCTCCCGATAGTTTGCCTATATGCCTCAAAAGATTGTGCAAATCTTTTGCGCAAGTCCTCGCCATGGTTAGTTTTTCCTCGGATCAGTTCAGTGTATTTCCTATGCCCACTCTCTCAACAAAAATGCTCAACATCGAACAATTTTTATCTGAACGACGGAGAAGTCGTTTGTCTGGATCTTCTTGGTCACATATTAAGTCCAGAACTTCCACTTTTTCTCTATTTCTACTGATTCATCTATTTCATTCTGTGGTGTAATGGATATTTCAAGCGTTATTGACTTTTTATAGTAGTCACAACCAAAGAATATTTATGATGAAATCACGATGTAATGTTTAGACGTGGTAAAGTCTAGCTGCTATGTTTACTAACCAATCAAAATGGAGGATTCGACTATATCATTTCTATATTTAGAATTTATTTATGGTAACGGGAAACTACGTCTACTCGAAATTTTCTACATTTTAGATAAACGTTTTATTCTCTGTCTCTTTCAGATCTCCTTGGGTGTGATCCAATCAAACGCATTAAATGGATTGAGAAATAATTAAAAGAATTCTAAAAATAAAGAACATAAAAAACTGAAACTGTTAATTATAGTACAAAACAGCCTTTTTTCAAATCAAATATACATAGAAAAGAAATAACTACAACTAATGTGACGCGTAAAACAACTATATATATATATATATATATATATATATAGATTGCCTAACAATGTAATTTTAACACACTATTTAGTATGTAAATATACGAATGTTTAAAATATTTACAAAATGATGAAAATAAACGCAATATTTCGCTAGACTAACTAGCTTTATCAAGCGTGCATCTATCCAGGTGAAATCGGATGTAGATGATAAGAAACTTTTGCAGCTCAATGTATATGTTGCACTTGAATTTAGCTGCCTTGAAAATAATACATAATTTGGATGAAGTTCAAGATTTTTACAAAATTGGTAGTTGAAGTTAGTAACGTCCATTGGCCAATATTACAGGATAAAAAGGACGATGCTGTGTACTAAATTATTCTTTATCTTTCCTGTATCTTTTCTCATCTTTTTCGTTAAGACCATCAGGTTCTAAAGTGTGGAGTTGGTGGATCCAAAAATTTTCTCTTCTCCTTCTCGCCGTGGTGTCCCACTCGGTGTTGACTTCTATGATTTGGAAGGTAACATTATCAAAAGAATGTTTCGTTGAACGAAGATGTCTTGTGAGAGGACAGTTTTTGTTGGTTTTGTACCATGAACGATGGTTATTGAGCCGAATATTAAATTTGTCCATTGTTTCTCCCACATACTGAATGCCACATGTGTCACATGTTAATATATAAATTGAGTTCTCCGTTTTACAGTTGGAATTTGAGTAGATGGTATAATTTTGTTTAGTAACGGAGCTGATGAAAGAACTGCTTGTATTGGCAGCTTTACAACACAAGCAGTTCCTTCGACCACATTGTTTGTAGCAACCGGGAGATGGAGTCGGCTGCTTTGCTAATACAGATGTCACTAATTTGTCACGGATGTTTTTAGGTCTTCTGAAGGCCATGACTGGTGGTGAGGAAAATACTTTTTTAAGATTTGAATCATTTTCTATAATTTTCCAATGCTTCTGAACAATGGAAGACACATTTTTAAAATCAGGGTGGTAAGTGAGTACAAGGGGTGTTCTGTTAGCTGCTTTATTCTTATCTTTGTACTCTAGAAGTTCTAGGCGACTAGTTTTGTTTGCTCTTTCGAAAGCGCTATCAATGATGTTGTTATTATATCCTCGAACAACTAGATGTTTACGTAGTTGTCCAAGTCTAGCATTTTGCGTATTTTCAGTAGAGCATATTCTCTTGATTCGCAATGCCTGGCTGAATGGGATGCCACGGGAGCAGTGTTTAGGATGGCAACTTTTAGGAGAAAGGAATTGATGTTTGTCCGTTTGTTTGGTATGAAGGTCCGTTATAATGGTTCCGTTCTTGATGTAACTCGTAGTGTCGAGGAAGTTTATTTTCTCCATAGATGATTCATATGTAAATTTTATTGAATGGTGGAAAGAGTTACAGTGTCCTAGAAATTCATTAAGATGTTCTTGTGAATCTGTCCATTTGAAATCAATATCGTCAATGAATCGGAACCATGATAAGGGCTGGTATGGAGCACTAGCCAAGAGGCGTTTTTCAAGTTGGCCCATAAATATGTTGGCATATGACGGGGCCATTTTTGTGCCCATACTAGTACCGTCTATCTGGAGATAATGTTTTTCATTGAAAGAGAAGTTGTTGTTCTCTAGCACTAGTTTCAGAAGTGTAACAAGGCACTCAGTTGGAGGATTTTTTTCACTACGAGTGTTCCATACCTCTTCACACGCTGCTATTCCTTCGTCTTGTGGAATGTTGGTATATAAAGAAGACACGTCCATGGATGCAAGTATAGTATTGCTTGGTAGAGGATTGAGGCTTTCCATTTTCTTTAGATAATCAGTCGTATCTTGGATGTAAGAGGGTAGTTCTTTCACATGAGGTCTTAGATGATGGTCTAAAAATTCTGATATCTTTTCAGTTGGATGACTATTTGCTGAAACAATTGGTCGACCTGGATTGCCCGTTTATTTATGTATTTTAGGCAACATATAGAATCTTCCGGCCTTTGCTTCGTTCTCAAGAGGTCGGAGATAATCAAAGGTGTCATTGTCTATATGCTTTTTGTCGAACATCTCTTGAAGGATGGTGTTGATCCTTCGAATATTATTTAGTGTTGGATCTGTGGTTAATTGTTTATAAAAAATGGAGTTTGAAAGTTGGCGATTTCCCTCTGCTATGTAATCTGTTTTATTATATATATATATCTCTTTCGGATATAACTTGAATTCTCCCTACCTCTATATTCTTCAAGTTTCCTACGGTAACACAACGAATGGAGGCCCGAGTTCTTAAAATATTCAGTACCAAATGTCCTTTATTCTCATTCAAAAGCTATTTCCTGATAATTTTGCGAAGAAGGTGCAATATGGACCTTCAGACAAAATAAGCAATATTTTTGCTACTCGGAATATGCACTCTACAGTTGCAAATAGCCTTTAGTTAGATCTCAGACCAAAACTGAATCACTGTAAGTATCTGAGAAATGATTAAGAGTTGAAATTTAAAGGAATTTTTTGAAGAAAAAAAAAACAATATGCTGGTCGGACTAGTTTCGCGTGAAGTTAGGAGGCTCCCCAAGATGCATTCTTTACACCATGTTTATTATGATATGTATAGGTCACTTAGAATTTGTGATATGAACTCGGCGAAGTAAATCTTTATCGAACTGAACGAAGAGTGATATAGGCGAGAGTGATATTTTTAGAGAGACCATGCAGGGTGTGTGTTTGCACCAAGTAACATGGTTACTAGTACTATATAGATCACGTTAGACCTGAGGTTTTGACTAGGACTACCCAGCAAACACACAACATTTTAAAAACATTTTTTAAATGTCATATGGACGTCTCTCACAAAATATTTCAATAAGATATCATTTAAACATTAAAAAAATGTTTATTTTATTGTTTTTGAAATGTTTTATTTCTAACATTTAAGTAAAATGTTTTTACAACATTAACAAAATATTATTTGCTAATATCTTTTATTCATGTTCTCAAACATTGTTCTAAAATATCCCGTAGATATTTTATAATATAAAAAAATAATATTTTCTTCAATTGTTATTTTATATTTTAACAACATTTAAAGTAAATATTTTCCAAATATCCAAAAAACATTCTGCTAAAAAATGTTTTACAGAAAATATAGTTTTGCTATTTGCATAAAATGTTTTATAACGTAAAATTAAAATGTTTTACATAAAACATCTGAAAAATATCAGCTAAATGTTTTCTATAAAATATTCTGACATACACATTACTAAATAGTCTTACTGATATTTTATTCAACATTTTACGGATATAAAAATAACATTTTATTTAAACTTTATTCAAAACCCCACAAACAACGTTTTGTGGAATTAGCTCGTTTTTTTCAGGATAAGATATTTTACTACATTTCATCAATATCACGACAAGCAAGATACTAAGGTTGAAATCCTTACTTGATATCTTGAAGATCCTTGAAGTCAGATTTTATTCCTTCTTATATTAAAATTCAAAAGAGTCAACATTAAATTAAGCAATAATGTATTAATAAACAATCACCTTTCTTTGATGTTTATTCATTTCGTTCGTGTATATTTTAGAAATTAAGAAATGAAAACTGTAACTGTACTAAGTTCAATTTTCGTATCGTTTATATGCCTTACGGAAAACCGACCTTTTCCGGAATCGACTTTTGTTTTATCACCGGAAATGATTTTGAAATTTGAATTTCGAAACGAAGACAGGATATCAACAAAGAGAGCCAAGAAAATTGTTTGTTACGCGATATATACTCACTTGGTAAGAATGATTAATCTGTTAAGATGAAACTTGTGCATTCATTGCGTGTGTTCAATCATAATCGGAACCAAATTATATCTGTTTCTGGAGGTGCGGATCAAGGCTTTGAAAAAAGGGGGCCCCTGACCAAGGCAAGCAAACGTTTGGAGTGATACTTGTAAATAGTCTATACATTTATCTTAAAAGTAGCTCCATAAGGGGGTCGGGGCCCCTAAATCCGCCACTGTTCAAGCATCTACGTACACCAATTATGAATTCGTTCATTGATATAAAAAAATTATAAGGATATGTGGCTTGTGTGTTTGATTGCCAATACACCTTATCGCTATTTGTCCGCCATTACTGGCCATGGACATCACAAAAGTTCTCATAAAATGTTGACGTCATATATGAAAATATTTGACACCACAATTGAAAGTAATACACCTTATCGCTATTTGTCCGCCATTACTGGACATCACACAACTGTCACAAGTTCCCTTAAAATTTTGACGTCATCATAAAAAATATCTGATGCCACAATGGAAAAGTGATTGTTGTTTGACGTCAAAAGTTCAAGCAGGATAGATTCTCGGGTCAAGCGGGAATAGGGATAAGGTGTATTATTGTATGACGTATGCTGACGTAAAAAGTTCAAGCGGGACAGATTTCCAAATACTGAAATAGCAATAAGGTGTATGAGACAGCTATCCACCAGAATTTAAATGACTTGGATAAAAAAAATTATAGGTCCACTTTGAAGCCTTGACAAACAAATGTTAAATTTTTCTCAACACAATTGAAACAAAACAACTTACTAACTGCCTACATTAAATACACATTATGAAAAAGAAATTTGACAGACTTAAACCAACAACTATTGCAATAAGCATGACTCAATACCTTATTTCCGAGGCACACAAACAAGTTACAATAACACTAATATAAGCACCATGTGAATATGGAGATTTTTTTTTTCTAGTAAAATCAGTGTATGTATGTATTTGCAAAACAGTAAATTAAAAGAAATGATTTGGTCGTAGGTTGATGATTAGAGATGTCTTGTTATTTTCCCAAAACAAGAACGATTACTAAAAACATGTGCAAATACTTGTCAAAGAAGTTGGCACTCGTCTCATCCGATATAATTCTATATTCATTGCAACTCTTTTTCGGATAGAAGGCCACTGTGCGTGTGTAATAAGTATAGTTTTATCAATAATTGGCATTGAAATCTTTCATGCATATGTTTTTTTCGATATTTTATTCCAAAAAGAAGCGTTGTGTACGGTGTTTAGCTGACCACATAAATCCTTCTGTACGGTGCATAGTTAAGTTGCTGTACACCGTACACAAAAACAAAATTTTCATACTCTTTTATTACCCAAAAAGTTTCAAGGAATGAGTAATCACAGGTAGGTTTATGATTGGTAACTATTACTTTTGCCATGTATTAGCTTTCTTTCAGGTAAAACATGTAAATGTCTCGACAATTGTATCGAAATTGAAAGTTGGTGTTGACATTCACAACTATTTGCGCATTTACCAGTTTACAAGTTAATTGTTCTTATTAGAATATAAAAATTGTCTTATAAATAGGAAAAAATCGATGCGAAAATTATTTTGGAACAGGAATTTCAGATGTTGAGAAATGTACACTGAATGTTGATAAAACAAAACAAAGATTTTCGTTACCGTGTCAGTTCAAAATCTTCATGCCCGCTTGGTTAGTACCTATATCTGCTGTACGATGATACACGGTGTTAACAGCTTAATGAACATTACAAAGACTATGTAAGACTTCAGTACAAGCAAGATAATATAAACCGTTGCTTAAAATTATATTTATTGCTTCATACACACAATGTACATACAATGTATCTTTTATTTTTTAACAGGAGCTAAAAGAAAAGCCACAAAGGACAAGTTCAATATGCAGGTTTACAATTTGGAAGTGTCGCAGGTTCTTTGGAATGTCTACAACCTTTCAGGAGAATTTTTTTTGAAGTAAGATTTTCATACAGAATTACTGTTATTCCATATTTAATTCAAATATTTAGCATAAACAATGCATTACATTCAAGATTAAGGGCATACAATACAGAAAAGATATCTGGATATTTGAATAAATTATTTTTTTGTGACAAAATAGAAACAAGTTGTTTATTTAAATCAATCTTTTAGTCCAACAGTGTGCTTTCATAAACAACATATTTGCTTTCCTTTGAAGTATTTCAAATACATATAAACAACTCATTTAATGACATCTGTGTGTTTCTCGGTAGTTAAGTTATATTATTATCATCATTGCGAAAACAATGCGTAACACTTCGATAAGTTATTATGTGCCTATAGTATACTTCTAGGACTGTATCATATACCCTTAGATAAATGACAAGTTATAAACTATGTCACTCTACAGAGTTTAACACTTAAAAAGGACAATAAGATGTTTAATGACATTATGTAGCAGGGCTTTTAAAGGCCCCTACATGATACAATGCATTTAATGAAAACTAAAAAACAACAAGAAAAACAACAGCCTGATTTATACAAAACAGTAAAAGAAAAAAAATATGATAGACAACAATCAACGAGTATAATGAAATAAGACTCTTGACTGCACAAAAATCTAGTCTAAAGTTATTTATGTGTTTTTTTTTAATAACTAAATGAAGTTCAGCGTGGCATATTGCTCTCTCTTAACACGGTCAGCCATTTATGGTCCCCTTCAGACAGACTATCATCGTTATTTGTTTCAAAAGTTTAAAGGGGAGGGGATGTATATCCTTCCGGCAACGTGAATCGTTCTATAATAAAGGAATGTGCAAGAAGTTTATATATGAATGTAAGATTAATTTTTTTTTCAGAAGCATGGCACAGCAAGGAAAAGATATAAGACACTACAAGACATTCCAGGTGATTTTGAATAAGACAACCATGACAACTGATTGACTTTTTCAATGTATTCTTAAATAAATCAAATAGTTGATGTAAAATGGTGTTTTGTTCTCATCTCTTCAGCCAATTATCAATGATTATTGACTTAAGATGTAACCCTATTAGAAGTGTAGCGTTTTAGTTTAGAAAGAGAAGTTGTATTGAAAAATCTGAATTTGGGACACAAGCTTTAGTCAATGTAACTTGAACTTAAAAATGTGTATAATGTTTGCATAATGTCCAATGGCATATATGTCATGCATGTTCAGGTTGACATATGCATGATGTGTGTAAGATAGGTAATAAAAGTTGAGAGTGAAAAACTAAACATTATACCATTGTGGTTGGAATGTGGGCTTTCTTGCACTGTCTGTCGTCTGTTCACCTATATTTGTCGGATTTTGTCGAACAAATATTTTCATCACTGTTTTTCCCAAAACTGCTGATAAAGATGAGTTCATATTTAATGAGATGCTTGATAGTGATGAACTGTGATGTGTGAACAATTTTTGTATCTGGCACCTGTTTCCTGTTTGCTTATACATTGTATTTCAAAATGTTGAATGTTCTCAAATTTTTCATTACTTTAATTAGTAATGCTGATGAACAGAATGACTTCATATTTGGTAAGTGGCTTGACCATGATGAGTTGTGTCTGCCATTTTGGATGTGTCAAAATTTGTAGATACTTCTTGTTTTTAGAGACTTTGAATTGTGAATTTCATATGCTTAGCAAAACAACTGATTTATTCTTGTTTGTATATAGAATTAATCACTGTGTGTAAATTAATTTAACTAATGATTTATTATTTAAAAAAGCAGGAAACTCAATCAAAAGTACAGAAATTTTTATATTGATATGATCTAAATATCAACCAAAAACATCTTCTTAAAACATTTTGAAAACATTTTTTAGGCACAGTCTCACTTGCAAGAAAACATCCAAAAAACATTTTTATAACATTATTTGATGTTCATGATGTTTTTCAAACGTTCAGAAAATATTTCTAGAAAATGTTTTTTAAAAGATTATCAAAATGTTTTATACGCCATTGTTTTTCACATTATCATGATATTTCTTTACAACATTTTAATTATATTATGCAAATATTTTAGAAAATATTTTAGAAAATGTTTTAGCGATATATATTCTACCATACATTTAATGTTTTTCTCACGTTTTTTTGTGATATTTTCATGACATTAGACACAACATTTTAAAAACATTTTAAAGATGTTTTTGTGTTTGCTGGGTAGGAAGCAATATTTGATCTGCGAAGTCAATGAAGTAAAAGATATAGACCAGAATGCAGATGCGGATCCAGGATTTTGAAAAAGGAGGGCCGCAAAGTTTCGAGTTGGACATGTAAAAAGTCTATGGATTTAAGCATATATGTAGCTCTAAAAGGGATACATGGGTCCCCTCTAAATCTGCCTCTGGAATGATCTGCTTTTATGTGGTGGGAGTCTGCATTACTCCCAACATGCATCCTTACACCTTGTAATATAATATGATTGTAGACCAGGAAGTTATCTAACAGGACATTAAACTTAACCGAAGTGTGAAATTAGGTCAGAGTGAAAATCTCTATGTGCTGTCCTTACACCACAACAAGTTATATACTGGTAAACTTATATCTAATAATTAAACTCGGGTTTCTTTCTTTTAGTAGATAAATGTGTGAGGCTTTATTTTCCTCGGTGTTCTCCTCGAATCTTTTTCAATTTTTGTATAGAAATTACATCTGAATATAGACATATGAATATATAATCCCTGTCTTGCATTGGACCGACACATTGATCGGTTTTTAAACCTGGTTCACAAGGAAACAGTCCGCAAGAAGACATGTCACCCTACACCGGACACATTATTCTGACTCCGAGTCAACCAGTCTTTCTCCTATCTGTCAAGTGATTAGTCAATGAGAAGCAACAACACCCAATTTTCAAGTCTTTGGTTTGGCCCCCGGGATTCGAACAAACGACATACTCGAGGTGAGCACGCTACCACAAAACCACCGAGTCGGTCAAAGAAAATTAATTTGGAATCAAGTTTTCTAAAGCTTAATAAAAGGGATTTGAATTTTAAAAGATAGTTTATCTTACAAAATCTATGATACAAAAATAAAATTATTATTCTAGTTAGATTTTAATATTTCAAGGGTTGTAAACATTACTCATTTAAAAAGAAAACGAAAAATACATAATATTAAATACAAATTATTTCTTGCGATAAACCATATATTGAGAGTTAGCAGAGCTTGGATGAGTGTGACCACGAGCGTTGTTATGTATTGATGGCCTGCTGCGACATGACCCGGATGATTTGCTTGTTGAGGATGCACCAGTATTGTCTACAACCAAGGGATTGTTATAGTACCCCATTTTAAGAACACCGTTGTGACCAATCAGAAAATGTGGAGATTTGTTTTCACAAACTTGCTTCTGGTGCATCTTTTGTCTTTCTGAGAACTGAAATTGATATTTAAAAATTAAAATAGCGTGTACATTTTATTGAAAAATATGGTATTGTGGTGATAAATATATATATATATATATTGACCAAATGTGAATATTCATATTGAATATAAATATTTAGCGCATTTTCAGCCTTATTTTTTTCATAGATACATACACGTCTAAACATGTGACAACTTTATGACAGACATTCTCCATCGGATAACACGTGGTTATACAGGGCTAACATCATAATATATATATATAATTCGTCTCAAATTAAGACCAACAATGTTAGATCTTCCAATGTGCGTTAGCAAATGTTTGTTCTTCCCTCATCGGAATTCGAACCCTTGCTTCTGTGACATCGTGGCAACACCGCCTGCACCGTGTCCAGCGCCTACGCAAATTTGAAGATCTAACATTGTTGGTCTAAATTTGAGACGAATTATATAATAGTGCCTAGAAAATCAGCCTAACAATATTAGAGTAGATCTGATTCTTTACTTCGACCCCGACCATGGCTGGATTATATAATATAATATATATATAAATGTGTGATAACTTTCTTTGCGTGTAAATTAAATCAAGACAAAAAAAATTGCCAAAGTTTTTAATCATCATAATGATTTACGTATATATCTAGATAACAAAAATGTTAAGCTAACATAAATGTGCTTCCTCAATTTTCTTCCTTGAGATATAAAAATCACCTTAACAATGTTAACAATACAAGTTATCTATAGAGTAACTCTATATTATAAATACAATAGTTGCTGTGGGCTTTGAAACAGTAATTTATTCAAACTGAAACTAAATTTTCTGCAACACATGCGCCAGACGGATGTTTCTTGTATTAACACACCTTCAACTGTTTCGGTTCTTATACACCCTTGGCTTTTTAAATAGTCGGCTTTTTGAGCGTTCCTGATGAAGGTAAATCCAGAATGGTTTGCCGTCTCATTGATGTTTATCATGGGACTATCATAAGTTTTGGGTTTACCCCTCTCTCTTCGCTTATTGGTGTATATAATTATATATTAGTATAGTGTAAAATAAATTGACTACGGAGTATAAATTCATGAAACTACATCCTTACACACATTTTGAGCGTTCCTGATGAAGGTAAATGAAGAAATGCGCTTTGGACGCAGGAAAGTGTTGTTTTCATTATTGTAACAAATTAACCAAAAGCAAAGAAACGATTAATCTATTGCTTTTCTTCTTTCAAATTCAAAAATAAGGCCTTCGATATACGGAGCACACCTCATTGCAAGTTCATGTTGGTCTCTATAGCATCGATTTGAGTTGATATTTTGGCTAGATACTGTACATTGGAGATCAGAACTGCGGGGTAATATCGACAACTTATGTTCTGTAACAGGCAAATAAATCTAACAAATACCGTCTGCTTCTGTCCAACTTTTCTGTAGGAAAAAAATAAGCATGCGTAGCAACAGATGAAAATTATCCCAAAAAATTCTCCCGCCCCTACCCCCGAATATCAAATGGCCGCCCCCTTATTATATTGTACATGTTTGTACCTGAGTAAATTTGGGAGTTGTTTGTTTCTTTTTTGGTGCATCATGTCTGGTTTTAACTGTCTGTGTATCAATGTAAAATGAGTTAGCTACTTTTAACTTGATACTGTCTTGTGTATACGGCTCTGTTGTACAGAACATTGGCATCATAGGAACGCTGGGTACTACGGTACTGGTAACTCTTCTACAAACACACGTGTTGGTAGTCTTCATTGATATGTCCTCAATTTTTCCCATAGTATATTCTTGTCTACAAAATTCCAGTCTTGTGGTCAGTTACACATCAAAAATATCACACACACAAACATATAATCAAATTGACCTGGTTTTTGCTTAATTTTGTTTGTCATGTACAAATTATTTTATATGTTCTGAGCACTCTGTATTAGATACGAGTATACAAATTGTTGGTTGGCCTGTCGGTGTGTTTTGCATACATCACACGTTTTGTGTTCGTTTACAGCTGGTTTGGATCATCATGACTATATGTACATATAATATTCAAATGTTTACCTAATGAAGTATATAAATATCCAACATGCATGTACAATAACAAACAAGCTAGTAGCCGACTATACCATTAAGAATTTATACAAAAAAGGAATTTGATTTTGTCGTTAAAAAGAAACGGAATATCTTTCAATAATTGGATTAAGAGGTAACCGTTGTTTACAATCAAATGTCCACAGAAAATTTGTTCAAGCCTGTAACATTTTTTTCAGTGAAAAAATACTGTTTAGGTCAGTGATATTAAAGGGATGGTTCACCAAATGCATTTTATAAGGTTTATGTTTGGGGTTTTTTTTTTCTTTCATACTCATGCATTGATGTTACTGGCTAACAAGGAACATAGTTCTAAATGAACTATTTAATGATTAATTATCCTACATTTGATCCCAATAGTTTGCATAGCTATGCAGATGTGATGCAAATTCGTGCATTTTGTCAAACCGAAAGTTTGATTTTCCATTTAACTAATGTTTCACCAGACAACAAACTTGGTTGAACCTAAAATTTAGATATTGTATCTCGAATATGCTGCAAGCCAAAAATGCCTCCTGATATTGTAAAGTTTTAACGTTTCTGGTTGCTGTTGTACCACACCGCGACCGTGATTCTCTGGTGGAATCCTGTTAGCTAATGCAAAGTTATTACAAGTAGTATAAAGCAAGACGTTTAACCCGCCTGTCTAAGAATCAATGACGTAACCAGATGTAAATTTGGATGTTGTATAATATTATATCAAATTAGGAATTAAATTAGTATGTGTTTTAATTGATATACCTGTATTGTTCTATATAGTTTTCCGAAAACTCAAAATGGACAAATTTATACTGTATTGGACTAGTTGATCTACTTGTATATCCAGGGGTAGTGTAATTAGACAGTGTGACCTTCTGCTGATCAGTTGACTTTCTTTCTTGATTCTGGGTACCAGCTCCTCCGTTTGTGATAGGTCTCGTAAAACCAAAGCGATCTTTAAGCTGTTTTGTCTTTCCCGTTTTTTGTGTAGTTTGTGACGGAGAATCAGTCTTCAATACATTTAGTTTGGCTGAAGCAGAGTGACTCCGGTGTTTCACACTATCCTCTAATTGTGTTGTATTGCAATGAACAGATGTTGCAGAGTGCTCCGTGGAACAAGTTTTCCATCCACTGAATTCATCCTGGAAAAAAAGCAGTGCAAACCATTTTAGAAGAGATTTCTTTACAATCCTTATATATGGTATACATCTATCCTGCTTCAAGTCCTATAATATACGTCAGTCTCCACATTCTTTATGTGCCTTTCCCAAGTCAGGAGTCTCTTATTCAGTGGTTGTCGTTAACTCGTGTCTGTCATACTTATTGTTCGTTAGCTGTTTTGTATATATTATAGGTTTACAGATGTATTGATATTCATTTGCATATTTCTATCCGATGCAGCTCACTTGATAAATTTCATGCTTCCGAAGCGCTTTCCTAGATTTACCTTCATCTGAAACGCACAGCCGAATTTTTAAAAGCCAAAGATGTATAAGAACCGAAACAGTTGAAGAACTACATGACCAAAAGGTACCTACAAATAATAGTCAAACCCATGCAATGTCAACTTTGACTGAGGGAGTTGAAACCTTAGTTTCTTACTTATTTTCTCAATTTATAAACGGAAAATCTATGAAAAGTTTGTTATAAATCATGTTAGTACAAAAGTACGGATTATTGAGCTAATGATACACTCGGGGACTAGTATTCTACCAGCAGCGGTATCGTCCCAATGCTGTAAAAAACGAAAAACAACACTTCATGAATTTCGTGCGTTCGCAGCGCTTTTTCTGGATTTACCTTAATTCATCAAGAACGCTCAAAGCCAAATATTTGAAAGCCAAGGATGCATAAGAACCGAAACAGTTGAAGAGCTATATGACCAACAGGTACCTAAAAATAATAACCAAAAGGTCAACTTTGCCTAGGGGATTCAAAGTAAAGTGTGTAGTACATGTACCTTTACACTATATTCTGTCAGTCTAATTGAAATATAGATCTCCGATTTCTTTATCCTTATATATACGAGCACGCGAGTTAAGATAGATTTATAGTCTCTAGTACCTGTACCTTCAAACTAAAGTCTGCAGTACTTGCATATATTCAAACTGAAGTGCGTAGTACATGAACCTTTACGCTATTTATAGTCTGTAGTATATGTACCTTCAAACTATAGTCTGTACTGTAGTGCATGTACCTTCAAGCTATAGTCTGTATTACTTCAAATTTACATTCCAACTAGTGTATAGTACCTGGGACATAATATATTAGTATCATGGTCTCAGATAGTACATGCACTTTAACTATAGTCTGTAGTATCTGTTAATTGTTTTCTACCTTCAAACTTTATTCTATAGCACCTGCTGACCGTTTTCACTACCTTCGAACTATAGTCTGTAGTACCTGTTTACAGTTTCCACAATAACTTCCTTCAAACTATAATTCTATATAGTACCTGTTTACTGTTTTCATTCGGCTCTTGATATATAACAGCGCTTGAACATCTGTTCTTTTGTACATTTTCCTTCTCAATCGTCTTAACAAAGGTACTGTCTTTTATTAACGTTTTCGCGTCTTCATGTATATCTTCGTTTTCCCTCATTGTGTTTGTGGCATTGTTTTCAAACATCTCTTTGTAAACACAAGGCAAGTACACAGGGTTTATTTCATAGATGATGTTCCTAAATTCGGCACTGTAGCGGACACCATGACTTCCTACCCAGACAGACATATTCCTATCTGTAAAAAAGTGTCATTTTTTAAAAATAATTCTTTACATCTTTTCATTACCTAAAAGAATCAATACAAAAACAATTACTGCTACGCAAAAAGATGGAATGTCAAATTCGGAAGACAATTATGTTTACGTCTTTAGTGGAAATATGACAATAATTTACTCACATAGCTATCAGTCCATATAAGTAAGGAGAGTCGAATTTAGAAGAAAACAAACAATGAATTCATTTTAGTCCAATGCTGCTATCCTTTGAACCTTATAAATTATGGTCGCTTAGTTATGGATCGTTTGTTTCCGTTGAGAGTTCTTTGAATAAAGAAAATGTAGGGTATACGTCAATGAGTTAGCAATCCAATAACAAACATAACCAAAATACATCAGCAGGGCAACATCCAGTCTTCAAATATAGACAGGTTCTGTACAATGTATCTATCAAACTTTAAAACGTCACGTGTCTTAGGAAACAGTGAAAAAATAAAACAGAAACTATGAAATAACTGCCATCAACTCCAAATAAAAAAAAAAACATTTAAATATGACATGATACAATTAACCACTGACGAGGCTCCTGATCTCGAACAGATACATAAATATGAAGAAGGGTTATACACTTGTTTTTTTTTATATATCTCTCCTCTTTTTATACTCAGGAAGAGGATTTACAATTGGTACATTAAAGAAACATGCAATAAAGATACGACTTTTCTTCTCTTTATACGACACAACCATTTGCATAAACTCATAAAAAAATCAGAAATTTTACAATTGAATGGAATGGTGTTTCAATAAATCTGTGCGTTATTATACCTTTTGCAAAAGTCATATGCAAATAAATATTCATACAGCATTGTTTTAAAAAATCGTTCCTCGCAATGATTCCCGGAAATATTGAAAATAAATGTTTTAAAAAATCCCCTGTCAACCTTCCCTAGAATATCAAACGGCCGTTCATTAAGTCCGGATGTTGGTATAAACTATAAATAGCAAATATGTGCACAATTGATGAGGAAATTCAAGAGTCTCACATATTTAATCCAAAAACATTACAAAATTGTCTCATGATCTGTGGTATCCACGTGGTGTATCCTTTCTTTTAATATAAAAGATGCGATCATTGTATATAGTAATCAAACTTTTAATTATTTAGAGAAGGGAACTTTGAACACCAAAATAAATGCCGCATATCGCTTTTGTAATAACATTAAAACATAGCACAAATATTACATTTCAGAGGGTAAAATGTATAATTATTTAAATAATGAAATGACAAAGCCCCAAGGTCTCGAGCCATTGTTTAATTGGCACAAACGAGAAGTACAATAAAAATAGAGCAATCTCCTTGACATTTCTGTTCTCGTAGAGTTAAAGGTTAAACGTATTGTTTATTGGACTACATGCCTATAAAACGGTATACGAAGCTGTCAATATACCTTACAGTGTTAACCATTGCAAACACCTTAATTATTACTGCAGCAGGTATTTTCGGATTCCGTCTTGTAATTCATTATCTTCAAAATTTCCGTATTTTTTTATTCTCCTTTATATCTTTTTTATTAATTGTCTTAATTTAAAAAGGATCTTTGATATCTTTTGCATAACAAAATAAATGTCAATCTCGTCAGTTACTTGTACAATGCTACACCTGGTTTGTAACGTGTTTTTGTAACGATATATCATGTTTTACAAGTTGAAGGAAACTTGCTAGTTATCCGGCGTGTTAAGGTGTACTTGTAATTGAAGATAATAAACGGTGGATGTTTCGATGGAAAGTGGTAGGCGTACATTCCAACTGAAATGAAAGGGGCGCTTTCCCTTGGGTGGCAACTATCACGATTCCTTGTTTATGATATAGATAATGGTGATTTTTTCGATGAAATTATATTGAAATTATACACGTACACTTTAAACGAAAAATGGGTCACAATGTAGTATTCACACATAATAAAGATAATAGACAGCAAATATAATAATGAAAATATTCATGTCGAAAGTTCGGCATCAGTGTTGTTGTAATTTAATTGTCTTTGAATATGAATATTGTAGGGTCTTTATTTATTTCTATATTTTCAATTTAGTCAAAATGGTCTACTAATTACTCTTCGTCATAATATCAATCTGCTAGCATCTAGTTTGCCTTCAATTGGTCAGTATTATAATTGAATTTCTTCAAGTCCAGGCTATCTTCAGAATCATCGGTGGATCCAGAGGAGGGATGTACCGTACAGAAATTTTAGTTTAATTGGAAAGTGTATGATTGATTTTAAGATCCTTCTAACGTTATTTGATTTACAAAACTCAACGTTTTTACACAACTAAAGTTTGCATTGAATAAAAAATCCATTTAATATTTAAAAATCGAAGAAGGTATGTAGTTTCAAAACGTTTTTTTTTTCAACCTTTAATTTATCAACCACGTTTAAGACATTTATGTCCACTTGAGTGCGGACAGAGTGCACTAAACACATGTGTCCATCAAATGGCAGCAGAAAAAAATGAAGGTGGCAATAAAAAAGTCTTAAATAAGTGAAAGAAAAACAGACAAAACTTTGGCCAAAAGAAAAGAGATTGTTAATTTGAACAGATGCATAAAATAAACTTTTCTTTCCAAAACAAATCGAATAAGGTATATAAATGTCAGCGATTCCACTAAACTCTACACATAAAACTAAACATTGAGCATTACCAGTCCAAAAAATTTTGTTTGGGGGGAGGGGGATTCGGGTGCTTTTGAAGGATAAGCAGTGACACCCATCGTGTTACACCTGTTCACGCCACTAACCTTATCCTAACGACATGTCGCGTTTACCTCGTAAATAAACACAAACACGTTGTATGGGTTTAGAGTTCTTTATTTCATCACAATTGATGTAGTTATGAAATGAAAATGACCCTCATGTGTCGTGCAAAGGTCTTGCTACATCAACTGATTGATAACTAACCTGTTTACATTTCTTTAATATCAATATAACACCATGAATAAGAATATGATGATCTAAACAATTTCTAATACCAAATATCACAAATTTCCAGTAAGTAAAAAAATTACTATCACTATAGACAAAGACTTCTCGTTAATGACCAAAAGTTTAAACAAAGAAAAATTAAATAAAAGATTCCCGCCTAAATCATACTAACCAATAAAAAACATATTAATCAAGAGTTGGTTGACCGTTGTGGAATATCCGTTTCACAGATGACAACGAATATGTTCCAATTGTCGTTACTACAATCCCATCCCCTTAGGTCGGGATTTTCCCCGAATGTGATCTACCGAATTAGACTTATCACTGCGGGTTTGAACATGAGCAACACGACGGGTGCCTCATTTGGAGCAGGATTTGCTCACCTTTCCGGAGCACCTGAGATCACCCCCAGTTTTTTGTGGAGTTCGTGTTGCTCAGTCTTTACTTTTCTATGTTGTGTTGTGTGTACTATTGTTTGTCTGTTGGTCATTTTCTTTTTTAGCCACCATGGCGTTGTCAGTTTATTTTCGACTTATAAGTTTGAACGTCCTTTCGGTATCTTTCACCTTAGGTAATGTTCTACCTGAATAAACTAGCAGAAAACAAATTATAATAACTGTAAATAAAATATATTACGATATTCTAATAACATAAACCATTAATTAATATAAAACATTAAAATATAGCTCTACCACAGACATATATAATATTAAGTACCAAACTAAATCATGTTTTTAAAAATATTATCCAATCCTATGTACAGTACATGGCCCGAAATATTTAGTTTGAAATGAAAATAAGATCGTTACAATACAGATAGAAACAACACAGCCGGAAAACTGAACAAAAAGAACCTCTGAGTCCTGATCGATTGTACTGAGTGTGGGCGGCCAAATCGTGGCCAAATCCTCAGCCAAATCAGAAAAGTACTACTGCCGGATCACTCCTAGTCCAAATAATTATGACGCCTCCTACGAGTACGAGGACTAGATCACTCCGGACTAAAAACGAGGCCCCTCATGGGGGTGTCCAAGTAATCACATAATCACAATTTTTTTGCCAATATAATCACATATCATTAATTATTTTTTTAAACAAGATAATCAAATAATCAAAAATACAGTCCTAGATTATCAATTAATAAAAAAATCATGAAATATTTGGTCTGGTAATCACTATACAAACGGCCAAGTAATCACATAATCAAAAACCCCATGAGGAGGCTCAAAAATTCCCAAAGGCATTTTTAAGGCGCTTATAGGATCATTTAGATAATTTGAGTTCCCTTTCTGACGGAATATTTATTCTGGGGGAACTGTGTTGAATGACACTACATAACTTATAGTAATTTAAATTACTAGTATTTCTATTTTTCTTCAACTTAAATGTTTGTTCCTCGTCTTCATATCTTCGCGGGTTTCAAACATTTTTTGTGACGTCAACGACAGTGAAGGGTCATATTTATTGATGTTCACGACAAAAATATTGTTTTTTTAACATCTAAAAAAATAAGACTTTGGTTCTGTTTTCATCAGATTTTGATTATTATCCCAGGAATATACAGAGTATCTTAAATGTTCAAATAAATAATTTATTATCAAGACACTAATTAGGTCATGAATTATTCATGAGGGTTTAGAAGGAGGCTTTGAGGCAGAACAGGAAGGGTTGCACCATGTCGGACCGGGAGAGCGGTGATGAACAACAGGAGCAGCAGGGACAGGGTACATATTGCTTGAAACTATATTACTTAAATATTTCTCTATCTGTTTTGTCTCTGCAAACCTGCCTTATTACTAAATAATGCTGACAAAGTTCAAAAAAACGTGTTTGACTTCATGACCTGGTCGGTCCAAAATATTTTGACAGAAAGCGGGATTGCATTTGAAGTGTGTGTCCTTGATTCAGGTTTCGTTGTGTTTGTCATTAGCTAGAATATGCATTAGTTTGTTATTGGTGTTATGCAGATGGAATAACGTTTATTTCATAGCAAGGTGGTTGTTTGTCAGCTGGTAAAATCAAAATGGCGAGAAAATGACCTGATTTTGGATCAAATTTAGAACACTTGCGAACTATTTAGCATCAATCGGAAACATGAACCTTAGAAACGATTGAAATCTTAATACGAAAATAGCTTAGCAAAGCCAAGTTTGAGTACCTTCATTCGTATTATCAGAATAGGTTGAAGTTGTAGGTGTGAAACTGAAAGATGTTGGCAAAAGATCAAACTAGATTTTTATTTCACATGACTTCAGGAGTGACAATTTCCCAAAATAATACTCCTTATTGCCATATGACTTGAGGAGTGGCAATCCCCCAATAAAATACTATTTATTGTCATATGACTAATATATGTTCATTTTCCCAAATCATAATCGGGTGAAAATCGCATTGAACAAAAAGTAGATTAAGTAGCAATATTTCTATTGAACTGAAAGAATAACTCTTTTAAGCAAAATAGCACGGGTTCAGGAAAATCCTTATCCATACCAGGGTTTGAAATTAGTGGTCGCCCACTTTTTCAGTGTAAGTAAATATTTAAAAAACAGAAATTTTAACAATATACTTTCAATATGAATCTGAGTCTTACGACTTTGTTTACGAAGTTTGTGCGAATGCTTCTTGCTATGGAAATAAAACTCCTGTATCCGGAGCACATCCATTTGGTTCCGTTCCACATGAAACAGAAGTGCGGCGTCATTTTCAATTTTGATACTGCACCTTGCATTATAAACTTTTGTGATTATTTTATTTTTAAAAGACGATGAATAAAGTTAAGCAGTGATCGATCTGAAGATGAAAATTTCTCTGTCGCTGTTGTTTTTCTCGTATGGAAATTTATACACCCTTCTCCCGATTTTTCGATTATGAATACTTTCTTTACCAACCCATTTTGTCGAGCCTGCGACTTTTGTCACAAAAGCGAGACATAGCGATCCTACATTCCGTCGTCTGCAGCGTCCACAAATTTTCACTCTGTGGTTAAAGTTTTTGAAATTTTAATAACTTTCTTAAACTATCCTAGATTTCTACCAAACTTGGACAGAAGCTTGTTTATGATCATAAGATAGTATCCAGAAGTAAATTTTGTAAAAAAAAAATCCTGTTTTTCCGTATTTTACTTATAAATGGACTTAGTTTTTCTGCCAGTTAACATTACATTCACTCGATGGTTAAAGTTTTAAAAAATTTTAATAACTTTCTTTCTTAAACTATCCTGGATTTCTACCAAACTTGGACAGAAGCTTGTTTATGATAAAAAGCGAGTATCTAGAAGGAAATTTGGTAAAAATTTATTTCCTGTTTTTCCGTATATTACTTATAAATGGACTTAGTTTTTCTTCCAGTTAACATTACATACAGTCTGCAGTTTAAGTTTTTAAAACATTCATTAGATTCATAAACCATCCTGGATTTTTACCAAACTTGGATAGAAGCTTCTTACAATCAAAAGATAGTATCTAGAGGAAAATTTTTAATAATTTATTCCCCATTTTTGTTGAGCCTGCAACTAACAGCAATAGTAGGCAAGACACTGGGTTCTGTGGAACCTTTACGGATTTTTTTAGAAATTTCAAAACCTTTCTATATAAAATCATGATTTTAAAATAAACAATTTTGCTGCCAGAAGAGTGCACGAATGCAGGATTTTGACTAATTTACCCCAGAGCTTCGGGGGAAATTAAGCAGCCCCCAGACCCCTCGCCGTGTAAGTGTATGGATCTTTCTGAAATTGTACTACAAGGTTCCATATCACAAAGGGAAAACTGGAATTGAGTTTGGGGTAATTGCCCAAAGCGTTTAGGAATAAGGGGCCAAAAATAAGCATTTTTCTAGTTTCCAGACAATAACTTGTGTTCAAGTGTATGGATCTCTCTGAAATTGTACTGCAAGGTACCATACCACAAAGGGAAGGCTGGGATTGATTTTGGGGATAATTGCCTCAAAATTTAAGGAATTAGGGGCAAAAAACAAGCATTTTTCTAGTTTCAGGACAAAAACTTGTGTGTAAGTGTATGGATCTTTATGAAATTGTACTACAAGGTTCCATATCACAAAGGGAAAGCTGGGTTTGAGTTTAGGGTAATTGCCCTAAAAGTTTAGGAATTTGGGGCCTAAAAACAAGCATTTTTCTAGTTTCCAGACAATAACTTGTGTTCAAGTGTATGGATCTCTCTGAAATTGTACTGCTAGGTACCATACCACAAAGGGAAGGCTGGGATTGAGTTTGGGGGTGATGAATCATAAGGGGATTCAAAAAATTTGGGGGGAGGGATTTTTTTTTCCTTTTTTTTTCTTTAAAATTTTCCATTTTAAATTAGTTATTTCTGATTTATAAATAAAAGCAAATAATAATGATATGGTTTGAATAGGTAAATTAAAAATTTTTAAGTTCTTAGACCACATTCATTCTGTGTCAGAAACCTATACTGTGTCAAATATTTAATCACAATCCAAATTCAGTGCTGTATCAAGCTTGAATGTTGTGTCCATACTTGCCCAAACTGTTCAGGGTTCGACCTCTGCGGTCATATCAAGCTGCGCCCAGCGGAGCATTTTATTACTAAATTGTAAGTTGCGACATGTCGTAACACATAAATTTTGGTTGAAAGGGTACACTGACATTAAATTGGAGTTTTCTCCCCTCTTATATTAAAAATTAGGCATATAGTGATATAACTCATTAAACATGTATAATAAAGACCTATGGTCTTTTGATTTGAAGCCCTTGGTTTATGACCTTGAAATTGAGCTCAAGGTCATTGGTAAATTTGACGTTCTAGATATTGACCTTTGCTTTTACCTCACATGTATACATGATAAAGCCATGGGATTTTTGCATTACATTGCAAGCCACTTGACCATGGAAAAGCCAACCAGAAGTGACCATGCAGGGGTGAAACTTAACTTTGTAAGGCCAGTAGCCAGCTGGGCTACTAGACTTGAAAATCAGTTAGCCAAGACAAAAAGTTAGTAGCCCACTTTATTTCACTATGAGTATCACCGGTGAAGCCCGTGAAGCGGGCTGAACTTGCTAGGGGGGTTTTGGGGCATGCCCCCCCCCAAGAAAATTTTGAAATTTTAGACTCAAAACCCTGCATTCTGAGCATACCTGGAGGTGATTTAGATGCTTGGGAAAATGTAAATTTTGTCTTATTTTTGTTGTTGACTTCAATCAAATTTGATAAAAAAAAATCATTTACAAAATGGGAATCTTCATACCCTGTGTACCAGTTTTTTTTTTAATATCTTTTTAAGACAACTAAAGAATTCTCTGTCCTTAAATACATGTAGATGATCGATGAAATATTTAATTTTATTTCTTTAATAATCTAATTTATTAAATATCTTGATCGATTTATTTTGCGTAACTACGTACATTTGTAAACAAATGATCGACCCCCTTTTTTCTCAAAAGACTTGTACACATATTTCAAAAGCATTGTCATAAAATTGATATCTCCTCTGATTTTCTCTTTTTTGTAAACTGTTCAGTAAGTAGGAAACTAAAATCATTTTGAACTAATGTTATTTATTTGTGGTCGACAATATTCTACTTTCGTTTTTGACCTTCATTCTCTGGACACCACGTGGGCTTTGAAAAGGGAACTACAAAAGGTACTGTTTTCCAGATTCTTAACAACATTATATATTATACGTTCTTTTATTTGACTGATATTATTTCATAACATGCTATTGTCATCTTCTCTGAATTTCTTCGCTTTCTTGAAGCCAAAACCGAACAGGGTATTTGATCGCTTCATATTGAAAATGACCATTGGAACGTTTCTCTTGTTATCCTTGCAAACATACGATACTTTCCGGACTTTAAATAGACGACCAATCAGTGACCTGAATTAACGTGAACTATATTTAGTCAAAGGTAAACACTGATTTTACATCCTTGTTTATCGCGACCGCGACTTTGCGACAATACGACTCTAGACACTTGCCTGTATACATTTTAAGATTTTTTCTTCTTTTTGAATTTATATTTTTGTCAGTGAAGTAGCTGGCACTTGGAGCCACGGTAAACAGGGGATTTCCGTCTGTCGAGTACTTTGTTTTCAATTCGCCACCTGGGCTACCACAACTGAATAAAAAGATCGCCCAGGTCAATTTCTGGTCGCCCTGGGCAACCGTTAAGTTTTTCCCTGCCATGTGTAAACCGGAAGTAGCTATTTTTTGTACTTATTAAATATAAAAGTATATTGAACCATATATTTTTGGAATCAGTATCAAGTAAACTATAAAAAAAAACCAGAAGTGACATTTTTAAAATTAGAAGTAACAATGTATCTCCCTTATTTAGAAAAAAAATGTATAGAAACCATATATTTTTGGAATCAGTGTACAATAAGCTATCATTTGATGCTGGCTATGATATTTTAATAGTTCTATATCAAAATTGATCTTTATGGGTGGAAAGACCTTCAATTGTTCTCTGAACAATTGGTTTTTTGTCGAGCCTTCGACTTCTGTCGAAAAAGCGAGACATAGCGATCCTACATTCCGTCGGCGGCGGCGGCGTCCACAAATATTCACTCTGTGGTTAAAGTTTTTGAAATTTTAATTACTTTCTTAAACTATCCTGGATTTCTACCAAACTTTGACAGAAGCTTGTTTATGATCATAAGATAATATCCAAAAGTAAATTTTGTAAAAAAAAAATTCCATTTTTTCCGTATTTTACTTATAAATGGACTTAGTTTTTCTGCCAAGA